GTATTAGATGTGTGCAGGTCCCATTTGGCACTCTAGTCTGACGATCATCCTTTACTTTCTTTCTTTTTTTCCTCTTCTCTAGTCGGGCGTTTTGGAATCTTTGCGCCATTGTAAGATTAACTCTCGCAGCCTCATGTCAAACCTTCGAACGTCGTATAGCTCAGCCACGTACCGAACTCGCAATGGGACACATCGTGTATGTCGCGAACGGACGTGACCAGGGGCCGGTAATAAGCCGAGTCAGCATGGCCATGTACACAATGGCAGTGGCAGTTGTGGCTCTTCGGTAAGGACGCAACTTTGTGGTAACCCGGTATCGCATTGCTGATGTCTAATAGATGCTTTACTCGCGGATACATAGTCAAGAGATTTGGCTTGGACGACCTCTTTATCGCCATCGCCGTCACACTTGGAGCTGCACAAACAGTTACCATCATATTACAGATCGAACATGGACAAGGACGACACGCATCGGAGCTACACGTTGAGCAGTTCGATGAGATGCTCATGGTACTATCAACTCATATCGAGGCATTTCACTTCGTACTGACAGCCGACTAGTACCAATGGATCAATATGTTGATCTATTTTGTGGCGAACTGGTATGCCGCACCATCGCTCTTCCTACACAATATCAGGGCTAACGTAATTGCAGGACTGTCAAGATGAGTATCCTAGCTCTCTACTACCGGATTGGATATGGCAAACAGGGTTTGCCATGGATCGTACAGTCACCCGCCGTATGGACAGTAGCTGCCTTCATGACTGCCTTCAGTTTCTCTGTCTTTCTCGTAAGCACCGTCCTTGCTTGTATAGTGATCATGACTGACATGTTTGAAAGACCCAATTATTCATCTGCACACCAGTATCACGCGTCTGGGACATCGAAGCTCAACCTGATGGATGCATCAATGCCGCCATGTTCATGGTCATCTCGGGTGCCATCAATGTTGTTACAGATATCGTCTTGTTGATCTTCCCTTTGCCGTTGATCTGGGTAATCAAGTTTAACAAGAGACAAAGAAGTAAGTCAACGCACGTGTGGAGTTGTCAAATGCGTAATGCTGATCATGGTTTCAGCGGCTCTAGCAGTCATTCTCTCTATCGGCGTCATCCCAGTTGTAGCCAGTTCCATGCGTCTCTGCGAGATTGTCATGTCTGACAGTCCCATCAGACCAGGAAGCACTTGGCAAGAAGTGGATTTCAGCTGGTACGTCCACTTCCGATGTTTCTCCCGTACTAATAAATCAACTAACATACCAATCACAGGGGCTGGTCGTGGGTTCCAGTATGGTCTCAAATCGAAGTTGACATCGGTATACTTGCCGCGTCTCTTCCATCCCTTTCTCCTTTACTTAAGCAAGTTTTCCACTGCCCCCACCGAACCGCCACACCTTCTGAAGTACCCACCATACCAGGGTACCGGGGGAGTTGGGGGGAAAAGAACTTGGTCAGCATCGACGATGACGACCTCGAGAAGGGAACGGGTGGCGCTTTTGACTTTGATGGGGAGAGAAGACTGACGGTTACAGAGAAGGAGATGGGAAAGGCTATGGATATGGGAAACAGTTATTTTGATGATAGCATATCGGACGTGGGGGAGAGGGATTCAGTCTATCCGGAATCGATGGGTAGGCCTAGTATTGGCGTAACAAGGACAGCGGACGTGCGTGTTTTGACTAGAACAGGTGTGCCGAGGATAGTAGAGTATAAGAAATTATGACATTATATCGAGGGTCGTGTTTCAAGCCGGGTACTTCTACCAAGTGTGAGAAAGTATTCATTATCGTGTCGTTATCGTTACTCGGTGTTAGTATACTCATGCAGTATTATACAGGGTGTTAGTACAAGCGCCTTGACGCCCAAAATTTAGCAATACCTCACCAACGTCCAAAGCCATCAATCGCGGAGCTGAACTGAGTAGCTAGTTGACTTGTGACTGCACAGTCGCTCGCTTCAGCCTTCTCCATAGCCTGGGGTAGCCATTCTCTAATCTTCTCCTCTCTGTTGTGGTGACTCGGGTGTGTACTCAGTATCTGCGGCGGGCCCGCCCCGCCCGCCTTCTCCATGCGCGTCCAGAACTGCATCGCGGCTTCTGGTCGATAGCAACCTTGCGCCATCATCAAGAGGCCAATGTAATCAGCCTCGGCTTCGTGTTTGCGCGATGCGGGCATGGAGAGGAAGAGATCGAGGAGCATTTTGCCTGAGTAGAAGGACACATCGAACATAGATAGGGCGAGGGCGCCGAGGAGAATCAAAGGGGCTTGGGACATGCGTTCACTATATTCCAGTTAATACGCCTTCAAGACATTCGAGGGAAGGGAACATGAACACTAACGCGGTATGATGCGCAACGACATGCGCAATCTCATGGCCCAACACCGCCGCAATGCCATCTTCGTCCCTGCACAACGGCAGAATCCCTGTGAAAACAAAGACTTTCCCCCCAGGCGCAACAAAAGCGTTTTGCTCCGGAGACTCGATGACTGTGACTTCCCAGTTCAGATCTTTGAGCCCTTCACCCTCGGCATACGGCAATAACCGCTCCAGAACCCTCTTCACCTGCCGGACTCTCGCATCGCTATCCGGTAATATCCTGCCTTGGTATTCTTGTCGGACTTGTTCGACGGATTGCTGCCCCAGCGCTTCTTCGATACCAGGTGAGATGATGTTGAACCGACGGCGACCGGAAACGGGCACTTGTTCGAGGTTGTACAGGTAAACGCCACCGGTGCCTGCGCTGATCAGGCCAACGTCGCGGTAGAAAGTTGGGCGTTGGGCCCAGCGATACAGGAGACCAGTTATACCGCCAGACTGTGCGCTGAAGCGTTTGTACTGGGGGCCATTGCCTCGACCGCTGAAGGGGAGTTGTTGGTAGGCGCGTGTTTGTGAGTGGGTGCGGAAGGGTTGGTGTGCATGCTGGGGCAAACGAGGCGAAGGGCGGAAGGCGCTGAGTCGCGGTCGTACTCGATGCATCGTGAAAGCGCTTCAGAGCGGTGATGCTGCCTGAGTGGGATTTGGCTGGACATATATCTAGTGAGGAATGACGTACAGCGAAGTCCGCGGGAATGCCAAGATTTTGGTTCGGAGCTATCTTCTCCTCAACGCCAGCTGCGACCACTCGCGATCTTCCTCAATCATCATCGTTATTAACTATTTTCGTCATTGCTGACAGTTTGTCTTGGTTTCGCGGACGTATTCCAGCGTCATCCACCAACAAGGCTTGCTCGTTCTTTCCTCAGCCGCACCGCATGGCACGCTTCCACGTCAAGCGCAGGATCAAGAATAGTGGCCTACTTCCAGATGCTAAAAGTGAGCTATTCTCGGTAAACGCTCAGGTCTTGCGCACGGTGGAGACTTCATAGTGATATAAATGAACCGGAGGTAAGTAAGGGCTAACTTGTCGCGTGAATGACGCGCGTCATATATTGTCACAATACTGCTGCTCCTGCAAGATGCGCTTCTCATACATTGTTTCGACACCCAGGATCCTTCCATCCTCTCTCTCGCTATCCATTCCCTTACTTTAAACGTATGCATATTCTACATGGACTTCCAGGACGCATGAGCCTGGGTTGTATGGGACGGGCGAGGGAAACGGGGATACCATTGCAGGCGAAGTCGAGCAAGGCGTCTCGGTCGCAGAAGACTCAACCATGGTGGGTGTAGCGGTGACTGTGACCATGGAAGATAGGGTAGGAGCAACAGCGGAGGACTGGGTGACGACAGCGCTAGTAGCCGAAGAGACAACGGACGAGCTGGACACGGCACACGACGGCAGAGGCGCGACACTGTCAATCTTGGAAACAACCCAGGAAGAAGCGTCGTCGGTGTAGAGCTCAAAGTAATTTAGGTCTAAACGTCGGTGTACGAAATTAGTGTATGTCTCACATGCAGTTCGTACAAGAACACTTACGGTCGGCCACAATATTACCGCCGGCGCAGACTGGGTCACCAGCAGCGCAGTAAGAGCGGAGCACCGGTGCGTAGCGGTTGAGGCGTGCGAGATCCTCTGGTTTGCGTCCGTTGGCTTGCTTGTCGGCACCGTCGAGCACGTTGTAGGGCTGGTTGGCAGTATGCATCACGTCTCCCCAGAGAAGAGCTGCCGCGACTTGTGTATGTCAGCATGGGTAAAGCTACGCCATCGAAGAATCTGCTTACCCGCTTTACCAGCAGCAGAGTTGTTATCCAGACCGGTAGAGACAAAAGTACAACCACCCTATATAGAAACATTGAGTCAGTATGTATCTCCATGCGATTGACCCAAGTGATAAGAAGCTTACCGGTCCACCAAGCACGTCACCGACGACGTGCGCTCCCTCTGAGTAGCCATTGACCACGATGTGCGAGCAAGGGCATTTCTCATGGAAGGCCGTAATCTGAGAGATACCATTGCGAGCGCCTTCAGCAACTTGGTTGCAGTAGTCACCACCCAGAGTAACGTCAAACTGGATGTCGATGTAATCGCAGCTTTTGCCCTGGGCAGTCAACTTGCCGCAAGTAGCTTCGACAAAGGGGAATGTGCGACCGTCATGGTATGGTGCGTCGTTGCCGCGAGCCATGAAGATGACTACATCAGCGCAAGTTGCGTCAAGCTTCGGGGGTACAGTCTGGGCTGCCGCGAGTGCAGAGAAGGCACCCAGAGTCAGGGCATTGCGGATGTTGAACGACATGATTAAGTATTAGGTATGTATAATGATGTATAGTGATCGAAGAGTGTGGAAGTGGAGACCACAGGCGGACTTGATACTTCAAAAAGAGCGTAAGGGTTCGTTGAGGTGTACCTGGGGTTACATGTTGAAGCAAGGGCCGACTGCTTTAATACATCCAGTATACGAGCCCGTTAAATTTGATCGTTCCCCAGAGTATCGAAATGGTTTACTCCACGCTGTTGGACGTGCTAAAGCGAGGGAGGCGTGGTTCCATCCCCTTTGCCCTGCATAAGTGTCCGAGTAATCGCTGCGGTTGCTTGCATCCTTGAGCCAGGATGATACCAGAGGATTACTAGAAGAAGAAGTTAGCAAGAAATTCGATTCTTTCGAGTTAGTACTAACGGTAGTTTAGCCACATGTGGGTGTAGTGGCACGAAGGTGCCACCGGGTATTCTGATATCTTTGCTTGGTGCCACCTCCGCCAGGCCCTCCGATGAGCTTGAATCCTGACGCTCGGCAGTACGGCAGCATACATCTGCTTATAGAATTCCCTTTGCTCTGCTGTCGACGAGTTGTAGTGTCTTGGCTGGTGGATGCTCATTCCAAAACAGCATGCGACAACATCTCGCATTATTCATCACGAAACGGGAATGGGACGGAGGGACGGAGGGCTTCGACGATCGGAAAGGATGATTGCAATGCTGCGAGTCTCTGGCGTTTCCATCTCAAGGGTTTCGTTCCCGAAAACCAGAACCTTCTCGACGATGGGGTGACTCAATTCTGTTTGTGGTCATGAAGCATCCGCATCGTGCTGGCTCCGTTGGAGTACCCAAGATGGCATAAAAGCCATTGTCTAGGCTGGTGTACTCGACGTGGTCATGGTTCTCGATTCTTGAGAACGACGAATGCTTTGAAGCTTGCCATATGGCAATTTTTGATTCTTCATTGATGATTGTCTGACGAACGATTGCACGAAGGTCTGAAGCCCGCTTTCCGGCTTCCAAAGCGGTGCTTTTCCAGGTTTGCCAGAGAACATTTGACGGCCAAATCATCTTGGCCCCAGTGTGTCGATCTCTCGACTTGTAGTTCTCACTACAGATTATGAGTCCGTGATCTGGGTCGAACCAGTTGACATAAGCGGCATCATCATCCTCTGATACACCTTCAGAGCGAATTTCGACGAATTTCGAATTATTGATTATAATTCCGCAAGATAGTAGCATTGGTCGAAGCGCATTCTCAGCGTTGGAGCGTAACCTCCCCGACACGATCCCGTAGCCGCATGATGCGAGCGAGGCAGACAAGGGCGGTTGCGCTTCGAAACTTGCTAGCTCTCTGCATGGCCTCTTTTCATTCGTCATCGCCGATTCGTAGACTTCAAGAGGGCTTTGTGAGGACATTTCTGCGAACGTTATGCTGTAGTGTACAGATGAGAAAGCTTAGAAGTTATAGTAAGCACAACATCCTTCGTATGCGAGGTAGGAACTATCTCGAGGAGCTCTTTCTTCAGAATTTACTCACGTAGCTTCTTTTCTCTCCACCCTTTCCTTCCTTCCTCTATCCCCCTTCCTTCATTCCTCCGACCCTCTTTCCTTCTTTCCGCTCTCCCACACCCAGATACCAAAGCAACCGAATCATCCAAAGGTGGAACAAGATTCCCGGATACCATAGATGCAGTTGATATCGTTACGTTTTGAAATTCAGCAGCTCTCCAGTCACTGCTAATGAAACTAATTCCAAGCTTCGCACTCGGCGTGTGCATCGATCCCACATGGAAAGATCAACCAAAAACGCATGTAGGCTCAGGGTTTCCACCACTGGCTGAATGGTATGTGTTCTAGCTCGTAATCTGAATCTTGTCCGGAAAGGTGTGCATGGACGCGTATGGCGGCATATTTTGTACCCTCCAACTTTTTGAACCCAATTTACATTGCCTCTGCTCGCATCGTTCCAGCCCATGTGTCTGGATCATTCGTGATCTCGCGCTTGCACCCAACAGGTGTAGCGTGACAACAGAGGCGCGTGTCTAAGTTTTGAATGCCTGGTTTCCTTTGCTCGTCGATCCTACCCTCTAACTCAACGACAAAATTCACAGCAATATCCAGGGGCACTCGCAGGACATTAAGGCCAGTGGAATCGGCTCTTTCGATGGGCAAAGCGAATCGTTCGAGATGATCCAGAGTAACGTGAACATCGGTGCTGATTTGACTTGTTTCGGTAAGAACAACCAGGACAGTCTGCGTGCTCGCCACTTCGCGAAGACTGAAGCAACCATCTCGTCGTCCAACCCTATAGTCACGTCGGTCGCATACAAGGATGACGGCAGGAAGAAGAGGATGCACCGAATAGTTATCCGTGTTCGAAGAGATGTGCTGTGCTTGAGCAAAAAGCGACGAATGTGCCCTCAAGATCTGTGGTAGGCTCGATGGGCCCGTAGCTGTAATTCGAACGGGTGCTGCGAAGAAATGGCCAAACTCGATGTTTGGCCCAATAGAGCTTCGATGCCATTCTTCGTATATAGCTGCAAAGACTTTACCGGCTATATTAGACTTCTCGGCGGCATCAGGTGCACCTGTCTGCGCAGACTGAAGCCAATAGAAAGCTGTAGGCTTATTGCACATCTCCTTTGCTATGTCGCCTACCATGCCTTCGACGTCACGAAGGACAACGCGATAGCAGTCGTTCGTGGTCCAAATAACCTTTTGCATCCAGCGGAAGTGTGCCTCTCTTTGGAAGTGCCACGATCGTTTTAGGTCTTCAAGGATGAGCGACTCTGGCAGGTCCTCGAAAACAATCGCGGGGTTACGCCATGGACTGTCCATCCATGGGATGCTTGTGGACATTCTTCTTGTACGGGAGAAGGTATCGAAGGTGGTGGTGATATGTTGTGTGCTCGGGAGAGTTTAAGAAGACCAAGAGTAAAGATAAAGCTTTTCGGCCATTTGAGTGAGCGCTAGCTCTTCACTTTGGTACGCCAGGTTTGGCAACCTAGAGGAGTACCATGGTACTTCATAGGGAAGGAATTCGTGTGTTCGTGCCATTTGATAGGATCATATGTGTTCATAGACTACGTGTTCGGTACTTAGTGTTCATATAGGAGTCAGAATGAGCTTGCACTTGACACACAAGACGGGCGAATGGCCGACTTTAGCGAAGACTTAACCAAAAATCTATTTCTATCGCGATGTCTCCCCGTCATAATGCGGAAAGGCCCTTAGAAGATATGCAATATAGACTACTATTCAAACTTAATACAAAACGTGAATATTAGTACATAGCGTGCTATAACGATCTATGGAGTCTCTGAATAATTCTAAAGTAATAGAAGTTTTACGCGACTTGATATGATAGATAGTGCTTCAAGGATAAGGGAATGATGTTTGTAGTAGATCGTCGAGGACTACGGTGTTTGCGCTTCACAGATCCAGCCAACCACATAACCCTATAATTTGATGATTTGTTTGATTTAGACTATCAGTAGCTGACAGGAAGACCCAAATACCTCTTGACATAGCGCGTAGGTAAGGGCTTGCCCATATCATGATTGTGTACGTATCACTGCAAATAAAACCAATTCTAAGTTTTGCACTCAGCGTGTGCATTAATCACACGTGGAAAGATTAGCCAAGAACTCACGTGAGTTCAGGGTTTCCGCCTCTGGCTGAAGGGCATGTGTTCTATGTAGTCGCATCAGGCACCGAACGAAAGCGATGTCGCACCCTATGGCAATAACACGATCTCGCATATTGAAAAGATCTTGCAATGCCTGCAATTCTCTACTTTGCGCTTCACTACTGACCATGGCAATTATAGTGCTTTCGATACAGAAACTGGTTATGTTACAATCACTCAATCAAGCTATCACTTTACGGCTCTGCACCAAACTCCTCAATATCAAAGTCAAGCCCATCAGCGTCATTCTCCAACGAATCGTCCCACTCCGCCCAAGTGTTTTTTAGCGCAGGATCCTCCACAACCAGAAGTGGGTAGCACTTCTCCACATCGCCGCCGGTTACAGAGTACTTGACATCCACGCTCTCTAGTACAGCCATACCCGCATCCAGATCCGCGACAACAAAGACTTTGGGTGCCTGTCCGTCCTTGTAGGTACAGAAAGACAACCAGTAGATAGCTTCAGTGGCGTAATCAGCAACAGTGTAGAGACCTTCGAGATCAGCGTCATATTGTGTTCCAGTTAGCTCAGCTTTCCAAGCAAGCATCGCAATGGCAGACGTTCCCAGGACTGGGCTCTGTTCGTCACCAAGACGGAGTCGGGATACACCAGCTGCCTTCATGGCGTCGTCGTGATAGTAGAAGTAGCGGCCCTGGCCATCACCAACTACGGCATCTTCGCTGTAAGCAAAGAGTTCGTCGCAGCCAAGGCCAGTAGACTGGGTAGTCTGCTTGACATACATGTTGCCGTTGGAGCAGTACATGACGTTGTAGTCGCCAGCAATTAGCTTGGTAAATTCGTACCCGTCAGTACGGTCGTACGGAACGGTTTTGACATCCGCAATCGTATAGTTGATATTATCGGTGGCCTTCTTGACGGAGTCGGTGATTTCGCGGATTCCAGCTGGGAGGTCGCCAGAAGAAGAGGGTGTGAGCGTTGAGTTGGTTTGTTTAGTGGACAAGGATCGCTTGATGTCCAACTGGACGGGTGCCTCTTCGTTACTTCCTTGGGCATTGCTATCTCCCGTGCTTTGGCCAGTGTTGTCACCGCTATTGGTTTCTCCACTGGATAGCTCTGCTGAGGCGCCTTGTCCTATGGGAAATCCTCCAGTAGGCAGGTTACCAGCAGGTATTTCTTCAGTAGGGAGTTCGGGGGCAGGTGTTTCACCGGCGGGCAATCCTCCGGTGGGTAGTTCCCCGGCACCCTCCCCAGCGGCACCCTCATCGTTACCAGTCTCCCCGTCGCCTCCGCTCTCACCGCCTTCGCCAGCCTCCTCTCCACCAGGTGAGGTTGATGGCTGCTGGGTCTGCTTGCCAAGAGAGATGCACATAGACTTGATGCTCTTGTAACCACTGTCAAGTAACTCAAACTCCTTGACGTCGAGGACGTTGCACACCAACTTGTTCCTCCAGCTGAGATTAGTGTGGATGCCCTGGCATCCTTCAGTGGGAGTAAATCCAGCAGTAATCTTGCCGTCAGCGAGCTCAGCTCTTATAGCAGCTTTTGCGATACCCTTAATCATGGGTTCATTGATGAGAGCAACAGTCTTGCTCCAGCTAGCGACAGTGACCCCGAAGTGCATGCCAATAGGAAGGCCCAACTCAGCGCCGACGTAAAGAGAACCTTCGGCTTCGAAGGTGGGATGACCGACAGGGTCGAAGTTCTGGCGCGTGGACTTGGAAGGGTCAACCATGTCGACCTTTGCGTAAGCACGGTTCCAGTTGAACTCAGCGCCAGCCAAGATGCGACCCTCCGCTCCGGCCTCCAGAGTAGCACGGGCTTCAACGCGAACCTGGGGGCCGATGATGATTGGACCAAAGGATAGCTTGGGCAGACCTTGCTGGAAAAGTGTCTTCTTCCACTCACGGCTGAGCTTGATCTGGGCGTCAACACCGACCTTCATAGCGACTTTGAGATCGGCCCAGGCTTCGATCTCGCCTTGAGTGATGCCCCGGCCAACAGCCCATGTTGCGCGACCAGCAAGCTCGACAGAGCCCTGAGCGCCACAACCAACGCAGTAGATGTTCAGATAGCCATCTCGTTGCGCACCTTTATCGGCCTTGATCTTGGACTCAGTACCATAAGCGGCAATAAGAGCAGCAGGACCCCAGGGTGATTCAACCTGCTTGGCGTCTGCTTTGTTACCGTCAGGAAGAGCGAACTTGTATGATTCTTTGATACTACCGCTGACAGTGCCAGTGGTAAGGAGTTGAACGCCACCTTGAAACACAGTCTTGCCAAGACTTATCGTGCTCTTCACAGGAGCGACAACGTTTTTGTTCCACCACTCTCCGAGACGGCCTCTGCGTTCCACATGTCGACGATACATCAGGGCCCTGCGGGATAGACCGGCGATGTCATCGGAGCTCAAACCGGCAGTGGCATCCTTCAGAAACGCTTTATCCTCGGTGGACAATTCGCCATAGCCCTTAAACTCATCAAGGTCCAAGTCGAAGTATTGGCCGGTGCATGTAGTGGGAAGACCGTACTTGGTGTCGACAGGAGCCTTACAGTCAGAAATGATGTCCTGATTGAACTTGTTGTTGCCATCCTCAGTTGAGTTGGTCAATGAAGTGCCTGAAGGTGTTGGTGCAGATGTGGGTGCAGAAGTCCAGGACTCTAATTCCGACGATGAAGAAAGAAAAGCACTGGACCCAAAAGGTGTGGGCGATGGATGTGCTGAGCTAAGCGGGTCGCTAGAAGTTCCCGCAAACGACGGGCTTGAAGATACAAGCTCAGAGGCAGACTCAGTAGGCTGCGTAGGATCTTGCGACATAACTCCAGTTGAAGTGAGCGAGCTGATGTAGGAGCTGTACGAAGATCCAGTACCAGGCGATGGAAAGATGTCTGAGAACGCGATTCCAGTCGATACACCAGAGCTTGCGTGGGTAGTAGAAAGCCCGTGGTACGATGATGTAGAAGAAGGGAAACCGGAATAAGATGCGGTGCTGTTTGGCTGCTTATTACTCCCATTCTTCTCAGGCTTGTATCGCCCCCAATGGGCCTCACCACCTTCTGTGCACTCGTCTCGCGCTTGAGGATAACCCTTCACAATGATGGATTTGCCGTCGTCGGACTTGACAGTATCCTCTACCTTGAAGTAGCACTGATCATCGTCCGATCGAACTCTGCAACCGGCTGTGCTTGAGACGATGATGGTACCTTTGGGCCACGACTCTTTGGCGAAGTCACATGCCAAGGCAGAAGTGAAGTCGACAGCGAGCTGATTGCCAGAGTACTGCGCATTTTGGACATAGTCCGAGTGCTCCAGCACAACAGCAGGAGCCTTGAAAAGCAGATCGATTACACCAAAGTAAAACTCATTGGTGGGCTCTACAGCTGAGTGTTAATAGCCGGCATATATGAGTCAGATACAAGTACTTACTCGCATTGTCGCGGCCACCTTCAGCGTAGTAAAGCTGAGTCTTGCCCTTTGGTACAAGATTCTTGGGGTCTTTTGTGTTCTGGCTCCAGTGGCTACACGGTTGAAGCTTGACATCCTGTCCGGAGTTGTATTTGAAGTACTCCTCGTTCTGACCAAAGGGCTTCGCGATCTTGCTAGTGGGGCGAGCTCCGTAGTGTGAGGACGCACTAATCATAGTGGAAGTAGTTGGTTCGGGTCCAGCAGGAGTGCTGGTAAGATTAGTATGTTCGAAATAGTAGTCGTCCCCATGCAAAGCAGATGGAGTGGCTTGTGCACCATTTTCCTGGCCACTGTGGGCAGTCTCATAGACCGTGTAAGTCTTGACTTCGCAGACTTTGGACGGAACCTTGGACGCACGACTCAACGGGTTGCTGGATGGCTGGTTCGGGGAGACACTGTGGCCATTGTCAATGGTCTTCACCTTGGAGAAAGAACCTCACCACTTACGATGATACGGGCGCATATGCGGACGCAATGCTGGCAAAACCCAGCGTAGTAACAATGAAACGCATTGTTAGTATTAGTATTAGGATTAGCACAAATATTGTAAGAAAGTAAAGAGAGTAGAAAGAGTGATAGCAGCAAGGCAGCTGCAAGTTGGACGGTGTCAAACACACCAAAGGGAACAAGCTTGATAGTAAAGAATGCTGTAAGAGAAAGATGGATATTGAAGCATGAAGACGCGCGACAGGTCTTTAGTACTGCTGCCTCTGAATTTCTTATATTACATGCAGGAGATTTCGAGTCTGCGCTAGATTGCGCGTTCCTGGATTCAATAAGAGGCGCCATCAAGGCGAGCTGAGAGCTGGTCATGATGAGAAGTAGAGCATGCAGTGTAGTTTGGTGGCTGTCCGCGCGAAGTCCATTTAGGCATCGGTTTATGGGAACCTCAACCAGACGAACATGTAAGAGCTTCGCGTATTCGAGGTCAATACTAAAATTCTGGAAGTGTTCGATCAGTCTTTGTCGTCTCCCGGCTCTCTTGCTCTGCGCATCAGCTTTTGCATGCTCCCCAGAGTTACCAGCAAGAGCGAGCTGTCCATCGTCAGTCTCGTAAGACCTCAAGCACAAGACACTTCAACCAGATCCATCAGCGGCGCCCAGTTAGCCCAATGCCCAGTGTTTGCGAACCGAATTGGCACTCTGCGACCCCTGCATCACGCGATTCGAGCAAGCGTCGTGATGATGGCTTGATGGGGCTGACAGAAGTTTGGTGGGTTTACGCCCTCAACTGCTAACGGCGCTGCCGAGACACACGTGGAAGCTCCGACCCCGGGTCGAGGCCCGCTTGGCAACCCGCCCCTGTCTCGATTGCCCCTGCATTGAGGGAAACGAAGAGGCTACCTATTCTTCTCAGACTATGAAATTTGTGGTGGCAGGTAAGGTAGGTCAAGTCTGGACTTCTTGGCTGATATCTCAGTATGCACCAGTACGGGATTGCGAGACGAGCGCACGTGATTGACCCGGCGAGGCCGCAAGGCGATTCAATCGTCTACAGCAGTCAGCTGCGACCCTCAAGCCATTGCCGCAATTCTTCCTCGTCGCAAGTAAACATGGTTGGCGAGACAAGTTCGAGCCTCGATGTAGAGATGATGTCCTGCTAGGCTGAGTATACCGTCGAAAATATTACAGCACTTTCACTCGATCTCGTGGAATTTACCACTGGGATTATATATGACATGTCAACAAGGTTCTTTCACATACGACCATAGGACACTGAAAATTAGGCTTCCCGTCCGCTCAGCCATATACAAGCAGTGTACCGGCGGATTAGTAGTTAGGTGGGTGACCACTAGCGAATCCCCGCTGTTGTATGTTTTTGCTAGGGTGTGGAGCGTACAGATCGTTACCTGTGCATCAGTTTTTTGCTCCCTTGGGGTAGACCGCCGAGGCACGCGTAGGCAGGGTGCTGGGTCTTGCTCACCATGTGTTCCTGGAGTAAGACTGCAAATGCTAAATCAGATAGGGCATTCTTGACTATGCGGTTCGTGTGTCTTTTCTACCTGTATTGCTTCAAGCACGTTGAAATGGCAGAGCGTGTCGCATCCGACGTACTTGCTCGGCCCGTCGGCAATAACCGCCGCGGTCTTCTTCCGCCACCAATTCCTTTCAATTACCTCATAATTTCGGGAAAATGAGCCTGCTAACTTCGGCAAACTCGTAGACTTGCAAGCTCGTACAGGTTGTGACTCAGCAAAATATGGATCTGGGGAAGCAAATATCCGGGGTCGTGTTTCTTGCACCCTAACAACATCTTCGGCTTGCGATAAGATGGCAGCTATCGGGCCAGATCCACCGGCTGAGGAGTTCAATCATATAGAAGAGGAGGATTTCAGGCCGACCAAACAAGAAGTATCTGCGACTTTTGATGTGACGCGAGTTGTGTCCATCGAGCCGCCTCCCAATGGCGGATGGGTCGCATGGTCGCAAGTGCTAGGTGGGCACATCATCACCTTCTTTACCTGGGGCTTCATCACATCGTTTGGCATGTTCCAGGCACACTACACTTCAATCGGTCTCTCGACACCCTCCAACATCTCATGGATCGGCGCACTTACCGTCTTCTTCCTACTATCCGTCCCTCTCTGGTCGGGCGCCGCATCGGACACTGGCCATTTCAAACTTGTCTTACGCATGGGCATCGGGTTGTGGCTTGTTGGCATCTTTATGACAAGCATCTGTAAAGAGTATTGGCAATTTGTACTTGCGCAGGGGTTTTGCATTGGGCTTGCAAATGGCTGTATGTTTGTCCCTATGGTCTCCGTTATCTCGACCTACTTCGATGCGACGAAGCGAAGTTTTGCGATCAGTATCACATTATGTGGATCGGGAACAGGGGGTTTGGTAATCCCGATAATGCTCAATAGGCTCATCGATCGCATCGGATTTGGATGGGCGGTAAGGACGTTGGGCTTTATGGCGCTGGTCATGCTGTTGATTGCGGAGCGGCTGCTGAAGAAACGACTCCCGCCAAAAAGCTCGGTGAAGATGCTCGAACCGAGTGAGCTGAAGGATCCAGTGTTTGATCTCTTCGTATGTGATTCGATTCAAAAGTTCAACTACACTATGCTAATTCGCTAAGATCCTTGGATCGGTCTTTTGTTTCGCAGGTCTATGGTTCGCTTTCTTCTACGTAAGTACGATTCAATTTCATCTCTAGTCACATAACTGATCTTTTTCAGATCAATGCCTTCGCCAGAAGAACCTTGAGCATGACACTGGAAGAATCAATACCGCTCCTTTTGGTGCTGAACGGCGTCGGCATACCGGGGCGCTTATTGCCTGCGTACATTGCCGATCACTACTGCCGGCCATTGACCATCAGCTTAATCGTCAGCTTTGTCACCGCTCTTCTTCTCTATTGCTGGGCTGCGATCAACTCGACTGCAGGCATGTATGCCTTTGCGGCGCTTTACGGCTTGTTTGCTGCGGCCTTGCAAGCCATGTTTCCTGCAACACTAGCAGATCTGACCTTGGACAACAAGAAGATCGGTACCAGAATGGGCATGGGTTTTGCGCTGTCTAGTTTCGGATGTCTCATTGGAGGTCCTGGTGGAGGAGCATTGGTCGAGGCTGGCAACGGATCTTACTTGTATGGACAAGTGCTTGCTGGTTCGTGCGGCGTATTGGGCTTCACGTGCTTCTTGACTGCAGCGCTGATCCACAAGAAGAAAGCAAAGCAGCTCGATGATGTGTAGAGAAGTATGGTTGCGGTTCACCTTCAACTATACCTTTAGTGAAACATGGGTGTTCGTGCCCTCATATACGAATATAGATAAAGTGACCTGTTGGATAGAACACACCTGGAATAGGTGGTGACCAGATCTTGGTGCCTGAGGTCCAGCGGATACATGCGACACTTCGGTCTCAGCATTGACCAGATCAGCGTCCACGTAATGTTCCGAGTAGCCCAGTTAGTACTTTGTATATTAGAGTCGGGCTGATGTTTCCTACCTATACTCACTGGCTGATGTCAAATCAATAGTCGAAAACCTGACTTCCAAGGACATGTTGCATTCAGCAAGCAACTCTTCAATGACTGCAAAGTCTACAATGACTAATCCTACCCACATTCCAGCAACTCTCATACCCTTTTGAATCAAGGTAATTATGATCCTAATGCTCTATGTCGAAATCATGAGTCTTAAATGTAGAATGGGCAACTGCGGGCGTGTAGTCAGGTTTGACTCGCCGGAACAAGTCTTCCGCAAGCCTCGCCCTCAGCAGGAGACACGTAACTCGACCTTAGCTTGGGCGAATGGGCTGCGGATAAGCAAGAAACATTTGGATCGCATCCGCGACAAGCATGGTCAACCTAAAGCAAATGCGGCTTAAGAGACTGGTACTTTGGCTTTCTAGGACTGAGTCTTTCAACGCACATGATCGCGTTTGGTATCAACAGAGCGAGGAAGTTCGGGTGGAATGGCCGTGTCGACTCTTATCAGTCTTTGATAGACGTGCCTGATAAGTTTGTCTAGCTGAAGCAGATACTAGCTTTTCAATAGAATGGTACTTCGTAGATTGAATGGAATCCAATCATTGTTGATCCGCCTCAACTTGTCTTTGCATCTTGTGAGTTGTGTATGTGAAGGGGAATTGATGGAAAATAGTAGCAAATTTATCGTAAGAGGTCAGCGCCATATGCGTAGATAGCGCTGATCAGCGGCTGTTTGGAGTGAATAGAGTCGCGACCGGCTTCATCATCTTGTACGTCGCTGTCTCGCCGCTTACAAGCAGTGCTACCATATCGCGCGCCGAGAATGTCCCGCAATAGTATACGAGCCAGCAGGCGTGGGCGTAATGTGTGGTGCGGGAAGCTCGCAGTCGCTTCCTAAAGAATAAATAAGCGGAGACGATGCGCAAAGCCTTACCACATGAAGACGCCACACGTGCCGTAGGATCCTTCGGGACGACAACGGGTGTCGCAACAGCGGATCGTATAATACTGTGGCCTTATTCCTAAATTTGAAGTCGAAGCTCAATTTTGTATTTCCCTCACTGTTGCTGTCGACGTGTGCGGTAATCCTGCCCCAATCGGTAGGCCCTTTGTGAACGGATGACAAGCCTCCGTCGACATGGCTTCCAACGGCTTCCTTTCCCTTTCTTTCACCTTAGACCGATGTTGCCATGCGCCAGAGGTCCTCGAGCCATTCTCCCGTTGACGTCCCGCCCCCCGAACTCCTGCTCGTCGCGTGAGTCGCCCGCAGCTCCGCGCAGGCCCGGCGGAGCCGTGCACCACATTAGGTTCGAATGAACAAGGGGCTGCCACCCTGTGATAGCTGCTGGCTCAAAGTTCTTAACCTCGGTCTGCATCAGAGAGACGTGAGAGATGGAAGGCTCAAATGATTGAGAGGTTGTTCCGTTTGACTATACTGGAATAACACACCTGCTGAGCCAAGGGAACATCTTGGAAAGGACAAGTTACACAAGCGCCTACCCCCCCTCACCACTTGAGCGTGAGTATGCGAGGGCAAGCACATGCGGGAAAGGCTGCGAATCTTGGAAGCCAGCCGCCATAGCGTCAACACCGTGGCTATTGATTGGTCAACACCGTTGGATACGAGACGGCTCTTGGCTACTTCCTCTAGCGGCCGCGCCTCTGGTGAGTGGTCGTTGTTCTCTTCGCTGTCCTCGCCACCAGATCGGAAAACGAAACTACCAAGCAGTTCAATTACATTTGAGGAAACAGAAACGAGATCAGGTCGCAGCATCTTCACTCCGTGGCTCTCCGACATTCATGAGGTGGATACCCCGCTTGTGGTCTGATCATGCCAAAAAGGTCGGCAGGTTGCTTTGAGTGCAGGAAGAGGAAAGTACGATGCGACGAGACCAAACCAGAATGCAATACTTGCGTGAGGCGCGGAACAAAATGTCCTGGATACCGGCCGACGCAAGCCTTCATTCTTCATAATTTTGATGCACATGGGGAGAAGCCGGCTCTCATCAAAGAGGATGAGAACCGCTACAGATACGCAAATCAAGCTTCGTCAAGCTCAACAGACGCTGGAAATCTTCCAGGAAATGTTCTCGTACGCCGAGAGGACTTGCAAACGGAACCTGTTGATGCGCCTCTTCCCAAGCAGGTCAGCGCAGTTGCCGCCGACAGAATACAGCACCTAGGCACCTTCATTGCGCTATATTTGCCCAGAGCTGAAGGCCCAGCACTGCCGCCTCCGTCAGCCTTAATGCTTGGCTTACCTACCATGCCCGCAAACAGCCCAGTATTGATGGCTGCGATTGATGCATTATCTGCAGCACAATTAGCAGTGAACAACAGAAATCATCCGCTCATCCATCGCTCAAGATCACTTTATGGCACAGCGCTGAGCCAGATGATGCGCGCAATCCAAGATCCAGTCACAGCCTTGAAAGACGAAACGCTGCTATCGACGTATATGCTCACGCTCTATGAAGTAAGATCTGCTCTGCCTTCATCTTGGGAATAGCTCTAACCTCAAAGTAGGTTTTTGTGGGTGTCACACAAGGCCATGGATTCTTTTACCATGTTCAAGGCCTGTTGCATTTGTTAAGGCAGCGTGGGCCAGCTTCTTTCGAGAGCCGATTGAGCATGCAGATTTTCCATGCCATACGGTACAACTCGGTACGACGAACAATCTCGTTCGATGTTGTGCAATCCCGCTGATTTCTTCTAGTTGAGTATCGGCTATCACATGCGGAAGGCCTCGATGTTGGACAGCCCAGAATGGCTGGCAGTGACAGCCAAAGCGGCCAAAGTGGATCCATATGTTGCTCTGAACGATATCTGTATACACATCCCACGACTTCTAGAGCGTACAGACAAAATTGCTAGGCCAGGGTGCCCACAAGAAGAGATAGATACTCTTATCGAGGACTCACAACGAGTCGCAAATCGTGCTTTCGAGTGGCTCTCGACTTTCGAAAGAAACGGTCCGCGATACGACATGGTAGACATAGCATCGATGGAAGGCTTCTTGGATATCTGCGCAGACCGCGTGTTCGATCCGATATTCTACTTCCATTATTTCGGCGCTGGCATCTGCTACTTGATCTACAATATGAGCATGTTGATCATGCAAGGAAACACATTCAAGCTCCTCCGTCAACATCGACAACTCGATATAAAGCAACTTTACATGTGGGACCGGCAACTCAGCAGCTATGCAGATTCAATCTGTCGGAGTGTACCGTACAATTGTCGACCCGTTACCGGATATACTGCGAAGTTTGGATCGTTAACCCCGCTTATGGTTGCGAGGAAGTACTATGAGATGAAGGGAGCTCAAACTGAAGCAGCGTGGTGCGGCAAGGTCTATATGGGCGCAAGAGTACCAGAGCTGTATCAAGCACCGATAGCTTTGGAGCCATTTGAAGAGGTCAAGAAGACTGTGCAGGGTAATCCGCGATTCATATGAAGCGCCGCGTTTTCGTGATGCAAGAAAATATATAAACGACACTGTACTTCTCATCCCGCTTCGTCAAACCTTTCATTCTTCTCCAGTGACTGTTCCCACAAGTTACGCACCAGTCATTCCAACAAGTTTTGCTAACTGTAGCTAGCTTACCGTGGTGGTCACACTGCAGAGTACACTCAAGCCATGCTAATCCCTTCTCGCTAACGAGTACTAGATGATGTGTCTACATTGACTCGTCGTCAAGCTACAGTGAGTCTCCCTAAGAAGCGTCTGCGTGTCCGCTATCGTGTCATCGATAAGCGTCAGGCTTCTCGGCCTTCGTGCACGATTTTCACTTCCGAAAGCCGTAAGACTCCCATTTCGGGGCCGTTCCCTCACATGTTCTCAAATCTCTAGTCGAATTTTGGAAAGCAAACTACGATTAGCATGACATGTTGGTGTGTCGACGCATCGCTCATGTACTACGTGTTCATCACTGCAAGTTCTCAAGTTTCCAGGTATGAGCTGGATGCGACGCAGCGCTTGATACATGAATAGTATAGACTTCCAGCATACAAAGTATGACCATGAATGACTGACCTAGACATCACGATGACGGACCGTTACTATGATTACCTGCAGAAGTGCGATATTCTGTAGAACGTGAAATGTCTCGAATGGGGAGAGGAGGCTGCTGTTATACTAACGCATGGGTAGTCAGGGAAGCGTGGACAGAACTCCAGTTATATGCTGAGTAGTACTGAATTCAACATGGGTCAGAATGGGAAACGAGGCTGAGACTTGAACTTACATATCATGCTATCTCGATGGCTTGTCACTCGTTCATGTAGCTTCACATTGGGGACATACACTGTCCAATGTTACAAAAACATAGATTAGGACAACTTTCTATCGCTGAACCATGTCGGATTCTAGTGAAGTAAAAGTGATTACAGTGGGATTGTATTCCCACATCCTTGTTTTACCAAGAAGAACTTGATCTACTTAGCCCTGGATTTCGGTAACCAACTTTCCAGTGTTGCCACCCTGGAAAAGCATCATCCAAGTCTTGGGCACATCCTCAAACTTGGTCTTAACCACAGTCTCGGTCTCAGGTCCAACCTGAATCTTGCCCTCCTTGACTCCCTTGATCAACTCTGGTACAATCTGTCCAGCCCTGCCAGACTCCAAAGCGTCGATAACAATGAATCCCTTAACCTCAATTCGGTTGCTGATGATCTCGAACCAGTTCTTTACACCACTGTCGCCCATGGAGTTGTATGTTGCAACAGCACCACAAGCAGCAATGCGTCCGTGGCGCTTCATGCGACCAAGCATAAGCGACAAGATATCGCCACCAACATTGTCGAAGTAGACCTCCACGTATCCTTCTGTAGCCTTGATCAAGTCCTTTTCAAAAGAAGCGGCCTTGTAGTCAACGCAGATATCCGCGCCGAGACTCTCGACCCAGCGGCACTTCTTTTCACCACCCGCGATACCAATGACGCGTTTGCATCCGAGCACGTTCTTGGCGAGTTGCACGACCATCGATCCAGTAGCGCCTGCAGCTCCAGAAACGACGACGGTGTCGGCGGCGGTAGCACGCGCAATGTCAATGAGACCGTAGTACGCGGTCAGACCAGTTCCGCCAAGTGCTCCGACGAAGTGTGTGGGACGAATACCGGCGCTCTCATCGGCTTGAATGGGGCGAACCTCTTTGGCGGAGACAACGGCATACTCGGTCCAGCCGAAGGTGCCCATGACGAGTTGACCCTTGGGCAGGCTGTCGGTGCTAGATTCGACGATCTCGGCAATGGCAAAGGAACGCATGATGTCGCCCTCGTTTACTGGCGGAACGTAGAGGCGCTCGGGGTCCATATCCTTTTGAATCCATCTGGCATGATGTTTAGCTCAATTTCTCTACATATGTTTACTGCTGAGCATACCCTCTTTGCGCTGGGTCATTTGAGAAGTAGAGGATCTTGATGAGGACCTGGTCAGCGCTTGGGCTTGGGAGGTCGACGGTCTTGAGCTCAAAGGTCGCGTCCTTGCCCTCGATGACGGGGTCGTTGACCGGCGGGTTGGCAAGAACCCATTGGCGTGTCTGTTGGCCTGGCATATCTATAGCTCTTTATATCCTTGTCTTCTCTATGTAATTAGGTAGATGTAATATCTATGTATTGTTGATGCTTGTGATGGAGAAGAAGTGTGTATAGCAGGGACGAGAAGCGGTCAACCCCATCTTTAAGTACAACCAAAGCTAAACAGTCTCGAAGCTGCGGTGGGGTCTCCCAAATCTTCCACGTAGATCCTGGACATCATAGGCCTAGACGTAAGAGACGTGTAAGGACGTGCTAGTTCTACTTAGTAATTGGCATAGAGTCGATTACTTAGTGTAGAAATGTTCGCGGCGAACCTCGGCTCCTTCTAGTCTCCAGTTTTCGCACTCTGGCGTAACGTGTCCATTGCAGTTTCATGGTAGTCGATCCGCTTTTCGTCCGACGCATTTGGGAAATGGTCCATTCAGTTGGAATGATGATTCAAAAGCGCAGTCGAAGAGACACACATTCATTGTTGATCGAGGGGATGGCGGGGTAGCTTGGGGCTTCACACATTCCAGGCACAAGCATGTGGCAAGTGGGGCGCTTGTACATGACTCGCGCTTGATGCATCATGTTCGATGTTATAACAACATGGATCTATCTGCACCTGCTTGGCTTGACTGGGCTCACAATGAACTCTTCACCACTTACCACCCTTGCCCTTCTTCTTATTCTTTCCCTTGTCTGCACCACCCTTCTTCTCTTGAGCGGCCGGTGTGCCCTTGTCATTCTCCACAACACCACCCTGGGTAAGGCCTTCTGCCCTTTTCTTTCCTTTCCTACCCTTGGGACGGTAGTAGCTCCTATCACGCATTGGAAGCCATCGTTCGGGGTCCATCTTCTTACCCTCGACATAGTCCTTTGGCATTCTCGACTTGCGCAACCTCTTCGACTTGGCCGGTACCTCCTTATTGGGCGCAAGGCTACGTTTCCTTGACTCCGCTCCGAGGTTGACTGATGTGAGGGTACCAAGTGGAACACCTGCATTCTCAAGCTCAACTGCGTCGATATCAGAAACCAGACGATTGGCTTCTGGCAAGTAAGCCAGGAGGTCTGCAGGTATTGATGATGGGTCTGTGATGCTATATGCGGCTACAAGACCAGCGATAGAAGCCCGGTCTTCGTTATCCTGGTCATATAAGCCCTGGAAGATCTCTCCTGCAGTTTTGACGTTGTCGGGGTTATGAGTGTCGAGAAGTGCTGTGCCAGCAGCGACCATCAAAGACTTGGATGGCGCTTCCGTTTTCGACTTGTGAGGTTTCCGCCAGTACTCCGCTGCCTTCGCTAGCTCGTTCTTCGAAGCGCCTGGTCGACCTTGCTGTGCATATAGCGACACAAGTGCAGCAACAAGTCCTGGTGCAAAACGGACGTCTAAATCGGATGCTGAGCCACTCTGTTCCAATCGCTTGAAAAATGATTCTAGCAAATGTGTCGCAGCGGCATAGTTGTTTGTGATAACGTACAAGTGCGTTATCGTGAGTATGAGACCCACATCAGCTGGCCTCTTTTCTAGCAATGGTACGATCTCCTTAAGTGCAGCTTTCTCGGTGTCTGCATTCCTTGCGTGAGCTGCCGCATTCAACACTGCTGCCATGTTGACGGCAGGAGACAGAGATGGTGCAGGCGACGCGGAGATGACCTTCTCAGTCGAAGATGCAACGCCCGCGACCTTCTGCGACAGCAATGCCATAACGTATTCATCTTGTCGTAGAATGTTGGACTGGTGGGAGAAATGCTGATCGGTAACGGGAGGTTGCGGCGATGCGTGGAAGAGACGATGGGAGAGGTAAGGGTTTGAGTGCTCTTTGGAGGCGGCGATGCTGTTGACCTGGGCAATGTAGCGGGTCGAGAGTTCCTTGATGCTACTGTTGTTAGTGGTTATTCTGAGCTTGTGACGGACGTCTTACTCTGCAAAAGGAATCTTGGTGGCCAGTTCCTCGGCCTCGTCAATCTTGCCCAGTTGCGTCAGGACATAGACTTGCTGAACAGTAATTGGCAGCAACTCGGCCTGTTTTTCTTCTTCGCTAAGGTCCGAGAGCGCATTGCACAGATCCTTCGCGCGCTTGAGACACACTTGGGCTTGTCCAAACTCGTTGCGGGATATGCTGCCGCATGCCGCATTGAAGGCCGTTTCGAAGACTTCCAGATCTTCACGTGTGGGCTGCTTCTTTTGCGCGAGCTCGCCTTGCCCAGTCCATTCCAGTTGCGCGTCTACAGCTCCCGAGTTGATGCGGATATCGTACTCTTCGCTTTCGACGTTTTGGTCTGCGAGTTCCTTGTAAATCTTGGTGGCCTGCGCGAAGTTCTCGGATCGGTATGCCTGGCAGCCAGGTGTCAGCTATGCGCATGCTTCAGATGCCTTCCGGTACATACGGCCTGAGCAAGCATGTGCTTCATCCCCCGACCTGCATCTGAACCCGCGGCTGTGGCCACTTCCACAGCCTTTGCTGCATTGCCAGTCTTGTAGAGCGCATATGCGTACTCGAACCGCGCCTTCTCCTGCAACTCTTGCGCCCCCTCAAACACCTCTAATGCATCCTCATAAAGGTCCAAGTGCAGCAATGCTACCGCTTTTGTGTGCTGCGCGTCCAGATCGCCTTTGGACTTCTTGAGCGCCGCATTGGTGGCCTTTAGCACTTCGTCGTGATCGTCGATGGTGGCTTGCGCAAGCAGCGAGGAGAGGGATTTGGTCGATGCGGCCATTGTCGGTTCGCGCTTTATCTTCCACCCATCAGAAGGCTGCGCAGACGTTCGGAGAGTAGTGATGGGCGCTGGTGGGGAGATTGCGGAGGTCTTGGTGAAGGCACGCGGGGATCTGAGGTGGGATGGTGCAAGCTCGCCTAAGACCCTAAGTTCCGATGGCTTGGATTCGTAGTAGGGCTGACGGCTAACGAGCATTGTCATTCAACACCAAGTGCTCGGGGTCCAAAGCGACAGGCTATTCACATGGGATTACCGCAGGTGGTTCTCTCCATCGATGCACGATTTATACCATGGCAAAAGTGTCAAGCGATATCTTTTAGTACATTAAATCTACCTCCTTTTTGTGCTTTGAAAATGCTTTCTACAGAGTACGCAATGCTCTAAATCATGCACTCCCCTCCTTGTATGCCGAAAGATCATGGCTGCAGCCAAAGCCGATCCCTGCATGCTTTCGAAAGTTGAACGCCACCTAAACCTGAACGCCAGCGCTATGTGATCAATCAGTTTACATCTTCAAATTCATCCTCTTCGCTCTCATCACCACCATTCGACGCGGCTGGAGTTGCTGCAGCTGGTGTTGCAGCAGCCGAAGGCGTAGGGGCAGCGGACGATTCCAGCTTGACACGTTTTGCATCCGGGAGAGCGCTGGGAGTGCCCACGTCAACATCTTCAAACTCATCCTCATCCTCGTCCTCCTCGTCATCGTCCTCTTCCTGCTCCTTCCTGCGGCGCTCGGCCTCGATCTGGGCAAAGACAGCATCGAGGTTCTGATTAGTGGCCACGCTATCTCCTGGCTCGGTTTTGATACTGGGAGTGTCTACTCCATCTGCTTCTCGCTTCACACTTGTCGTGTTTCCTGCTGCGTCTTTGATAACGGTTGACTTGGTATGCCAAGAAGGAAGCTGATTCTGCAAAGACATCTTTTCCTGGCGCGCCCTGTCTGCCGCTCGTTGTTTCTCGTTCTCCTCCGCGCTCGAACCGATCTGAACGTTGATCTTCTCCGGGCCCGTATCGATACCCTTGACGGCAGTCGGGCGTGAGACAGTTTCGATGACCTCGACCTGCGTGCCAGGGTCCACATTCCTATCGCGAGGAAGCTCGATTCTCTCGCTGATGATGTCTGGCGGTTCCAGATTGGGAAGATTACCCATGTCCTGGATTTTCGACATCATCTCGATTAGCGGTCCGAACAGCTTGTTGAACTTGGCTGGAGTGTCGTCGACGTCGTCTGCTTGAACGTCCTGGTCGATTTCATCCAGTCGAAAGCCGCATCTGGCGCAAATGAAACCACTGTCATCTGGCCCAGGATTGTCATCGGGATGGTCAAGCGCTTGCATGGTGGTGTACGTGGACTTGCATCGCAAGCATTTGAATTCGGGTTTTTCGGTCGTGGGTTTCGCGTCCCTTTTGATGCCCTCGTCAATCTTATGAATCTTGTACTTGACCGAGTCGACGGCGCGGCGCCAGTCGATGTAGAAGAATTCTCTGCTTGATGCCTTGTTTGCACCCTGGCGCAGGACATGCTGAGTATACGAAGAACACAGCCCGGCCTCCCTAAGCTTACCCGCAACCTTACTAACATGTTTCGAGTTCTTGCCTGCATCGAGAATGATGGTCATATCGGCCACGGGAAGTGCGCCGTGATAGCAGAGGGCGTCCATGATGACGATGTGCTCCGTCTCGTAAAACATACGGACTACTGTCCTTAACAACTGCTTCACTGCTTGTACAGGATCCCCTCCGTTCTTCTCTACAGAGTCCTTCATTGCTGCGCCCATGGCTGCGGTTGTAGAGAGTTACGTTCAGGTCTTGCTCGAACGGCGGCTGAAAAGATGCGGTGGGCGCGGACGGCTTTCTTCGAATGCGCCAGACTAGATCGCAGACAGGGCGCGAGACTCGAAATGGGTTTGTACGTATCAGGCGAGGCGCATCCTTTTCTACTTTGTGTTATGTCTGTCCGCGCGCGAGTTGACGCGACAATGGGGTGCTGCTGTAGGAGAAAAGGTGAGATTACAAAAGATACAACAGGCAGACACGACTGAACCATGGTTCCAGCACTAAGCGGTGGCTCGGGCGGTGAAGCGTACCTGCCGCGCCAAGCCTACAGCTCCGAGAAAATGGAAACCACGACCCCACAATTTACCTTCACTTGCAGCTACAGCTATCCTTTGTAACCCTACCGCCTCATGACCGGTAGCTTTGAATACTTGAAGAAGCTGGTCACACGTCTTTCGCGACCATGTCTGACAACGAAGGCCCTCGCCACGACAACAATTCGTCGAATCGCGACCGAGGCGACAAGAAGCGCAAATGGGCCGACAAAGATCGCAGAAATGCTTCGAGGGGAGGTGGTGGACGGCACCAGCATGGAAGCCGTCCGAATAAGAAGAGAAATATGGGGCGTAAGGAACATCAGTGAGCAGCTACCGGTCGATTCAATGCCCGTCTCTAACTAAGCAAGCTCCACCCAATTAGACCGACGAGATCGCAACCTCGAACAACAGGCCAAATATAAGGAGCAAGAAGAGAAGGGCGAAGATAGGCCAGCTCTGCCTGCTGCCTTCCCTGCCGAGGAGGTTGAGGCAGAAGAGCGCAGGCCGAAACGCAAAGTCGCAGTCATGATCGGCTACTCAGGCACTGGCTACAAGGGCATGCAGATCGACTACAAACAAAAGACCATCGAAGGCGACCTATTCAACGCTTTTGTCGCAGCCGGTGCCATATCCAAGGCAAACGCATCAGACCCCAAGAAATCGTCTCTCGTTCGTTGCGCGCGTACCGATAAGGGCGTTCATGCTGCAGGCAATATTGTATCGTTGAAGTTGATCATCGAAGAGGAAGACATCGTTGATAAGATCAACAGCCATCTACCTGACCAGATCAGGGTTTGGGGTATCCAACGAACTATCGGCTCATTCAGCTGTTACCAAGCATGCGACTCTCGATGGTACGAATACTTGATTCCGACACACTCATTCCTCCCGCCGCATCCTTCGAGCTACTTAGGAAAGAAGTTGGAAGAGTACGCGGAGAAAGAGAACGATGTTGAGGGCTATCGGAAGAGACAGGCTGAGGTCGCCAATTTCTGGCCTGAGGTAGAGGAGAAACACATTAAACCCATCTTGGACTCACTTGACGACTCAATACGACCACTGGTGCTAGAGGCACTTTACAATGTCGATGTGATTGATGCGCCGCCTGGCGGAGATCGCATAGTCGATGCCTCCATCGAGCATATCGAGCGCAAGACCAAGGAAGAGAAGTCTGCGGATACCGCGATGGTGGACGGAGGCGACGTTACTCCTAGCGAACAGACCGCAAATGAAGTCAAAGAAGCCATCGATACGATACAACAAAACGAACCTAGCATTACCCTCGACGGCTCCACGGACGGTTCCCGTCCTCTCCCTGAAGGTGTCGTCAACCAACCCGTCCTCGAAGAAGCCATCAAAGCCCTAAAGAGGGCGTATCTAGACGTGAAGAAGGCTTACCGCATCTCCCCCGAGCGACAAGCCCGAGTCCAAGCTGCACTCGACAATTACCTCGGAACCCACCGCTACCACAACTACACCGTGCACAAGAAGTACAACGACAAGTCCGCCCAGCGCTATATCAAGAGCTTCAAAGTCGCACCTAAGCCTATCATCATCAACGATACCGAGTGGTTGAGTTTGAAGGTACACGGTCAGAGTTTTATGATGCACCAGATCCGTAAGATGGTTGGTATGGCTGCGTTAACGGTACGATGCGGTACCGACCCCGAAATCATGGACAAGAGCTTCGGTAACGAGGTTGTCCGGATACCCAAGGCTCCCGGCCTGGGCTTGTTGCTCGAGAGGCCCGTGTTTGAGTCGTACAATGCAAAGTCAGCTAAGCAGCATGGACGCGATCCCATTGATTTCGAGAGGTACAACGACAAGATTGAGGCTTTCAAAGAAAAGGAGATTTATCAGCGTATCTTCCGTGAAGAGGCAGAGGGCAATCAGTGAGTATTATTCTGATCCAAGTCACTATGGATAGCTTCTAACTGCGGATAGGTTCAATACGTTTTTCACGCATCTGGACAACTACAAAGATCCACAATTTCTTTACTTGACCTCCGGTGGCATCGAAGCCACAAAGAGGAAGCGTGAAGACAAGTCTACACAACAAAAGTACCAAGAAGACTCTGAAGATGAGAATGCCAGTGGTGGCGAAGGTTAGTCGACAACATTGGTAGTGAGGATGATATGATACCCCATATACATGGATGGTTTCATGAATTGCCTGGGCATGGGCACCATGAAAGTGTATCACTACGACTTCAGAAGAGAATCGCGTCGTCTCAAGTACGAATATATCATGTACTCTATGATAGCATGACGCTGTGGTCATCGCACCAGACCGATAGAATTTATTCCCTTATAGATGTCGAGATGACTTAGACGTGGTATAACGTAATTCCGATACACAAGAACGCCTTGCTTGACCATCGTATAGCCTTGTAACGAAAGTACTTCACAGACCCTTGCCCTCGAGATACTCCTGCACTCTTTCCAGAAGCTCTGCTTTCTTACCCCCAATGCTCTGACCCCTTGCGCTGAGCCATTGCTTCAGCATAGCAACTGTTTGCTTGCTTATCTTTCCACTGTTGTTCACATCCGCCATTTGCTGATCAGTCATACCATCTTCTTCTTCCCCACCGTCTTCAGCTTTGACCTTTGGTTCTTTCTTGACTCTCTTAGCAGCTGGCTTATCCTCACCATCTGCACCGCCACCCGGGCGTTTCTTTGCTGTAGGCTTAGTGCGATGAGCTAGTGCGGACTTTTGCTGTTGTGCGTATGCTTCTTCGAATTCTTTGCCATAGTCTTCAATGTACTCACCGCACCGCTTGTCAATTTGTTTGTAACGAGGAATGGTTTTGTCTTCGGGCTGGACCGGTAGTTCTTCTTCGAGGGCCAGCGCTTGTAAGATGCGGTAGAACCATTGCAAATCTGGGTTAGGATATCTGCAAGGATCGTATATGCCTTTGGGTAGTTGAAGTTGCTCGATGATGAGGCGCATCTTGTCGGTCAGCGCATCCGTGGTCTTGAGGGGTTGCTCTGGTGGTGTTGGAAATTGCCGAATATCGTCTGCGAAGGGGAGGGGTACGAGCCAAAGTCCCGGTGGCATTAATTGCTCGCCTTCTTCATTTACCCTCTCTTCCCCGGGGATGAGAGCTGCAAGCGTAGGTGCGGCGTTGCGGCGCGGAATGAACCATACTAAGCCCATCTTTTGAGCCTTCAGCAGTTTTTGTTGTAAGGCTGAGAAGACACGGGTTGAACCAATGTAATCTGCTTCTGAGGGGTAGATGAAAGTTGATTTATTTGTGTTGGCCCAAATAGGAACGCTGGAAATGGGCTTGAAGCCAATGATTCGAATTACAGGCTCGCCAAAACATTGCCGTATCTGTGTGATCTCTTCGGGCGTGAAGGTGATTGCATCGCCGCCAAACTTGTACGCTTTGCGCAGTTCGGTTTTCTCAATAGCTCGGGCTGATTCGTTTGCCATCTGCGTGGTTGTAGACACCGCGATCTGCGGCTTTTCACCGCCAACCCATACGTAGCAAGACTTGACATGTTCCTGACGTTTGACAAGGATGTATCCCTTTACACCAATACGGAGATCGGGACCAAGCTCCATGGGTAATGAGAATAGAGCGCGGCGGGGTGCGGCTTTGGAATTGATGGAAGAGATGAGTTGCTTGAGAAGAGATATGCCTTCGCCGCTCTTCGCAACTTTGGTAGTCGACGGTATGGCAACGGGCGCGTCAGGATCGGATGGTGATGTTGGGTACACGAGGTCATCATAGAAACGCGATCGATCGAAGGTATGGTCTGGTTGCGATATGGGGAACAGGTCGATAGTACAACCAAGATCGTATAAGTCACGAGCCCGTGTGACCGCTGTGTCCTTGTCTGCTTTTACCTTGACTGGATAGTCGTTGTCTGTCACTAGGAACAAGCGTCTAGACGAAAAGTTGGGCGCTTTTGTAGTGAAGATTTGGTTTGCGCAGAACAGCACAGTTGCCATGCTGGCACCGTCCTTGGTTGGCTTCAGTATCTCTTCAGCCTCTTCTTCGTTCTCCACCATATCTCTGAGCCTCTTGACATCCTGAGCTGATGGCACGTCAAGGTCTGCAAGGAGATAGCAATTTTGGAACGTGTTGTCACCGTCCTTCAAGTCTGTCTTCTCAGTGCCAAATAACAGTATGCCCATCATATCGTTTGGGTTCGAGATGATTCGTTGCTGCATTAACTGATAGGCGCATTTTAGAGCAGCAGAAGTCGGAGAATCGCGCTCAGCTTTCTTGTCTTCTGATTTGGGGGGTTTCTCAAGCATAGTTGGGCTAACGTCGATGGCGAAGAGGACGGCATCTTTGATTGTCTTGTAACTCTATGAATCGTTAGTGACACCACCGAGCACAAAAGCCGCATTGAGCGTACAGAGTCGTCAATATCCTCTTCTTCATCTTCTTCGCCTGGCCGATTATCTTGTGGTGCCGCCATGATGCGACAGTCGCGTTTGGCTCGAGTAACGTTTGGTAGTTGTTGTAGTAGAAGGGTAAAAGCTCAACGGGGCGACAGTGTAACTAGCATTGGGCTTCCGAGACTCCTAGGAATTATGGGACGAAGTAGCCCAGGCAGGCAATCATAAGTCGCTGCAGCGCGCAGGGACAACGGCGTAGCATGGTAGGCAGCAGGGTGGGAACGCGACACTAGCTCCAACACGTAGGCACGTGTTTGCTAGGCTGCTGTGGGGCAATCCCTAGCGTCCGATCGCCAGCCACGATCGTCATCAACTGCCAACGAGCCTGCCGCCATTGGCCAGAGCTTTCACGCCGCTTGCTGTTCTGAACATTATTCATGCTGTAGTTCTGGCCTCGGCATCTTCTCCTCTATACTTCACTTCGAGAGGACACTTTCTTTCTCGTCGCAAACCTCACAATGGCACTTCGCATATCTTGCCAGCGCGCCGCAAAGCGTGCCACTTCCATCACGCCCGCCACATCTGTCCTCTCATCATACAGCGTACAATGGCGGAGAGGCAACGCGACAGTCGCCCCTACGCAAGTAACGCCTGGCGCTAAGGGACCTACTGCTATGGTCTTCATGAACATGGGCGGGCCATCGACAACAGACGAGGTCCATGGCTTTCTGAGCATGTTGTTCGTACGTAACTTGATTGGAACGCATCATAGATACTCAGCTGACGGAGTGTAGGCCGACAAAGACTTGATTCCCCTTGGACCCCTCCAGAACTATATTGGACCCTATATTGCACGGAGACGAACACCCAAGATTCAAAAGCAGTATGCTGAGATTGGTGGTGGATCACCAATCAGGAAATGGTCTGAACACCAGGCCGCAGAAATGTGCAAGATCCTCGACAAGACCTCACCCGAGACCGCTCCTCACAAGCCCTACGTTGCTTTCCGTTATGCGAACCCTCTTACCGAAGACACATACAAGCAATTGATAGCAGACGGTTTCGGAGCAGGCAAGGGTGGCCGTGCTGTCGCTTTCACACAATACCCCCAGTACTCCTGCTCAACTACCGGCTCCTCGTTGAACGAACTCTGGAAATGGAGGACGAGGCTGGAAGGCAAGCGCGCAAATGGAGAGACTGGTCAAGAAGTCGAGCCTGAAGGTGCCATCAAATGGAGTGTTATTGACCGCTGGCCGGCACACCCAGGCTTAGTAGAAGCTTTCGCTCAGAACATCGAAAAGAAGCTCGCGGAATACCCAGCTGAGCGACGAGACGGCGTTGTCATTCTCTTCTCTGCCCACAGTCTCCCCATGACTGTTGTCAACCGCGGTGACCCATACCCCTCCGAAGTCGCAGCGACTGTATACGCTGTGATGCAGCGCCTCGGCATGAAGTACAAATATCGCCTTGTATGGCAATCGCAGGTCGGCCCTCAACCTTGGCTCGGAGCGCAGACTTCAGACACTGTCAAAGAATACATGAAGAAGGGCCAGACAGACATGCTCCTTGTACCTATTGCCTTCACTAGCGACCACATCGAGACGCTATACGAACTGGACAAGGAGGTCATTGGTGAGGACGCAGAGGGCCATGAGGGTGTTAAGCGCGTCGAGAGCTTGAACGATAGCCCTGTTTTCATCGAGGCGCTGGCAGACATTGCAAAGGCACACTTACAGAGCGGACAGGCGTGTAGCCCGCAGATGATTCTCAGATGTCCAAAGTGCACAAGTGAGAGGTGTTTGGCACAAAAGGAGTTCTTCGCTAGCCAGACACAACATATCGATCCTCCCGCATCATAGGCTGATTTGAAGCTATGACGGTCCGAGAATTGCATACATGTAGCGATTGTGTACCATATGGAAAATTACTATATACCCGCCTCATAAGGACGATTAGAAAACTGACTGTCTCGCTATGAAGTCTAGGGACTTCGTCTCCTTAGGCCGTGTGATACATGCGCCTTTTGGCTCCATCTCCCGAGTTTCACTTGTGCTATTGTCTGCCACCTCTTCCTCAGTCTGGGTATGTATCCGGGCGATACGCCCATCCTCGTGACTACTTTTCCTTCCAACAACCGCCTGAACTTCGCATGGCTCTACTGCTAACGTCTTGACTCTTATCTTCTTTGTTCCCGTCCCAAGACTAGAGTTCCCTTTCTAGTTTGCACCTACAAGTTTCCCTGTCTGCTCGTCCTGGGGATTGCAGCTATAGTGTGTGTCCGAACACGCAAAGCTTAATCAAGGAGGAAAGCTGATGTTGCGTTTGCTACAATCCTGTGACGAAATTGTTGAACACACAGCTTCTCTCGTGCCGGTGATCAGTAGCTTTTGGATCTACTGTTATTCGATGACTACCTGGCAATATGGCTCGTCTTTGTCAATTATATTTGTTTGAGGATCCATCCATGCGAGATCTTTCTTGGGCTCATCTATAGGCTTCTTGAGGGCTGGGCCCTCGATACCACGTTCACTGTTCATATCGGTGGAGCGGGAGGCAATTTTTGACTCCTGGTCACGTTGGACAGCGGACCAAACGTGCAAATTGGTCTGCTCTAGGATGCGGTATAAGAACTGAAGTAGCTCAGCTTCTATGACGAGACCTATGTCATCAAGTGACAAGAAAATGTCGACTTGCACGTGCAAATTAAAGGAAGTTTAGCTAGGTATTGCGGTGTCATGAAAGGCATTATTAGGTGGAGGTCGGACACAATCAGGAACTGAAGTGCAAACTAGAACCTTTTAAGAATGGTAGAAGACGTCCCGGCAGTTCATATAGTGGGACTTGGAGATAGGACTAAAAAAGCAGTGGTTGGAGATACCGAGCTGGCTGTGGTTTCCATGATTTCGTAGAATCCACTCTAATCACTGGTACTGCAATCACGCAGAGCGCCAATCGTGATGATGCATAAACGCCTAAACAGATAACCGAGTTGGTCTATCTTTGTAAACCTCAACTCGATGCTTGATATATCGACTGGGGATGCATGGAACATCCTCGTTAGTGTGCTTTATAAGTACGAGGGTTGTGAGTGGATTCCATGAAATGTCATTCAATGCAAGACCGCGCTCCCTAGCTGCATACACGCATGTAGAAGCCTCTAAATCCTAGAATTACAGATCCCTCTCGTCACCCAATTGTCCCTTCAATCATAATCCCATGAGTATCTGAAGAGCTTTACGCAGTCCTGGCGACAGGCTTCTTCTCGCCGCCCATGTCGTGCTCGGTGTAGTAGAAGTTCTCCTCTGGGATACGTCCCCTCAAGAACTCGGGCTCGGAGCCACGAACGTAGATGTCCTCGTATAGTACCTTGCCAGTGGCCTCGGGAACGGCCATCTTCTCCGCGATGGCAACCTCCTCGTCGACGTCGGAGCGTGCTTGCTTGTCGATGGACTTGAGCTCCTCCTCGGAAGTGACACCCCAGTCAAGGAGCTTCTGCTTGAGTCCGGCGATGGGGTCATTGGTGCTGCGCATGCGCTGAATCTCCTCACGGGTCTATCAATGCTTGTTAGTATACGCTCTAGAATTCGGCACTGCGGTGTAACTCACTCGGTAAGTGGTTCCAGGGTCGGACATGGAGTGTCCTCCGTAACGGTAGGTGACGTATTCGTAGACGAGAGGACCCTTGCCAGCAGCAGCGTACTCCTTTCCGTACTTGACAGCGGCCTTGACAGCGAGGACGTCCATACCGTTGATCTTCAGACCAGGAATGTACTGTCCACGCTTGTAGTAGTCGGTGAGGGCAGACGAGCGGTTGGCAGCGGTTCCCATACCGTACTTGTTGTCTGAGGGGTATTAGCAAAATCGCAGCATGCTCCTTTGAAGGGTATACGCACTCTCGCAACCGAAGATGACGGGCAAGTTCCAGAGCTTGGCCATGTTGAAAGCCTCAAAGACCTGACCCTGGTTGGAGGCACCGTCTCCGTAGAGAGCAAGGGTGACGTTCTTCTTGTTCTCGTACTGGCATGCGAAGGCAATACCAGCTCCGACGGGAACCTGGGCACCGACGATACCATTGCCTCCGTAGAAACCGGGGGCGAACATGTGCATAGATCCACCCTTTCCGTAAGCGATACCCTCTCTCCTGCCGAGGAGTTCACCGATGATAGACTTGACGGTTGCGCCGCGCATCAGAGCGAAGCCGTGGCAACGGTAGGCGGTAATGAGATGGTCGGCGCGCTCGATAGCGTGTTCGATACCGACGGCGACGGCTTCCTGGCCGGTGGACAGATGGCAGAAACCCCGGATCTTCTTCTCCTTGTAGAGCCTGTCGGCGGCCATTTCCATGCGTCTGTTCCATATTAGACCCTGCTTGTAGCCAAATCCTGCAATTGTGGTGTTTCATACCGCACGGCGACCATGTCGTAGTACATCTTCTTCAGCTCCTTCTTGGTGACCTCCATTGTGTATGGCGGCGGGTCGAGCTCGTACGTCTCAAAGGCCTCGTCGGAGAGGCGGATCTCGAAGGGCTTGTCATCCTCCTGCAGACGGTCAATTATCTGTCCCGTGGCTACAGCCACTCTATCGGCATTTCTGGGTGTCGTCTTACCGATGGCACGTTGGCCGGGTCGGTGTGCGATGAGGCCGCATCCGTGGTCACGAACCTGCTGAAGGCGGGTCGCGCGGCGGGGGTGACGACATTGCGTCGGAAGGGCGACGCAATGTTCCGCCTAATTGTCCTGGACAGCATTGTGAGGTGTGAGGGGAAGGAGCGGAGGGAGAGGCGTGGGTATGCCGTGAGGTTGACTGCTGAGGGTGTTGATTCGAAAAGTTGCTCAGCTCCGCCAGCTCGGGGATCCGCTTTCGCGCTAAGCGATTAGGGTCCGCCAACGCCAATTCTCAACACATCCCGATCCTCTCCGACTCAACACCTATCGATGCGAACAAGCCGCCCAACACATCTCAATTCGCTACACGAAGCCTCATTTGCGGTTATCTTCGCTGCGACTCGTAAGCCGCACTCGCTGATGCACCGTGAACTACCAGAGAGTCGGGGTGAGCACGCGAATGCTACACCATCTTCGCGTAGGCAGGACTACTAGTGTATGGCTGTCGCGATCCCTGCCAGAGTGCAAAAGAAAAGACACGAGTGAGCAGTCCAAGAGATGCGGGATATAATACGACTACTGTTCAAGAGCAAAGGAGTATTCTCGACATCTCTTCTTTACTATTGCCATCTCAGATTGCATAACATGACGAAGCCCATCTCGCTCCTCAGAATGATCACTCAAAGTACACTTCCGACCTGTTCGTTGATCCTGTCGAATAATATCCTTTCTATCCTGCAGTATCAGTAAAGCAGGCATGGTCTCTTGATTAACGTCTTGAAAATTCTTATGCAACGGAAGTTATGGTAAGCGTAGGCAAGGAGCGTGGGAAAGACGGATGGTTCGCTACTTAGGGACTCAAGGTCTTTAGGTATGTTGGATTGCGGGGAGTAGAACTGGTATGCACTTCCAATAACGGAGATTCTACATGTGCATGTTTTTGGTAGGTGTACTATCGACTACGACCAACACGACCATATGTAAGACTGAACATATTTTGAGGCATGGACGGCTGCCAGACGTGATGCCTATCGTGATCACGTGTAACTCCGCATGTGGTAATTTGTGGGGTCGCTGTAGGATGTGTTGCGCTAGCGTTCATTCCTGAAATGAACCTCACAACTATCGTGCAACCTAATTTCGCGAAGACTTTGCTGCGCATATCGACCTATAAGATATGCATGGACTTCTGATTGTGTGTGCCCGATTATAGCAGTCATGGCGCACTTTCTGCTCAAGCCTTTGACGCGCTCGTATCTGACACGACCCAAGAACTCGATTGCTAAGCGCCGGAATTGAAAGTCTGATAGAGCGCGTAGCAAGCGTCCCGGCGCTTGATGATACCCAGATAACACAGCGAGGTAGATCCGAAATGGCTATGGGACCAATAACGAGCCTCAGTCCCGATTTGGTTGTTGTATTATTAGACCTCCGAAGACCCCTTGGCTCGTGGCATTATGCGCGCGATACAGATTACGTTGATCAGCCCGACGTAGACGCGCCAGTCAAATTCATAGATATCTGGAGTTAACTGTGGTGTTGTGTCTAGCATTCCAAAACTTCTCAAACGAACTTCATTCCCGCTTGCTTCGCAAAAGCCATGGTAGCCACAAACCCACGAAATGCTTCAGGTGCATCCCACACCACATCCTTTCAACACGAACCGCTTGACTACAGGAGAAGTGCTATTAGACTACTCAGAATCCTTCCTAACCTTTCGAATGACGGGCACATTCAATGTGAAATGTGGCATGACAGCGTCAAGTCAAGCTACACCTGTCTTTCGTACGTCTGGGGATCGGAGAAGATACAGCGGCAGATCTTAGTCAATGGCAGGCTTCTGTCGATACGTGAAAATCTTTACGAATATATGCGAGTCGCTCGATCAAAGTATGCAAATCCACCACGAACTCTTTGGATCGACGCTCTGTGTATCGACCAGAACTCCGTCTATGAAAGGAATCACCAGGTAGCACAGATGGGTTCCGTTTACGCAAATTCTGTTGAAGTTATCTCTTGGCTTGGGCTCAATCAAAGTATAGAAAGAGCATTTACATTTGCACTGGATTTGAGCATGGATCCTAGATATGGAACATGGGATATGGTGAGAGATCAGGAAAAGAGATGGCTCCAACGGAACAATAAGACCAATGGTCAACTTAAGAGAGACTGGTCCGCAGTTCTCGAAGACCGATACTGGACCCGCGCGTGGATCACACAAGAGATCTTGCTCGCTCAAAATGTCAAGTTCCTTGTCAACAACCTCGAAGTCACTTTCAAGCAGATTGCCGGATGTGCCGTCGGACAGCTTGAGTACTTCAACGGTCTGGAAGGCAACAGAACGATCAACCATGAAAATTTTGACGTCAAGACTCGTGTCTTCTGGTATTACATGTGTTCCATAGGCAAACAAAGAAAGCCCAGCGAATCGAAACTCATCAGCTGGTTCACTCGCCTACCCGGTCGGCAAAGCTGCTACGTTCACGACAGAGTCTATTCGCTTCTTTCACTTGCTTCAGATGCGTCAAGTATCAAAGTAGACTATCGCACTTCAAGATCAGAACTTTTGCATCAGGTCATGAGCCTATACAAAACAAAGATGTGCATTTGTGCATGGTTCTACATGGTAGATATGTTGGACTGCTACCATGTTCCTGGTACAAAAGGCCGTGGCAACGGATCGGATATAACCCCGATTTTCAGACTTCCCATGAAGCCAGTTCGTACAGAGTCTGTCATGGGTTACAATATAAAAGACTGGTACGATACATGTTCAGCATGCGCCACGAGGATGCCTCCGCCTTTTGATGAGAAGGTTCAGACAACCTTTTGTGTCAAGTCTCTTTGTTGCAACATTCAAGCAGGTCACATACATGTTTACAAGAACAAGCGCGAAAAGTACGTGGCCGAGCGATGGGGTGATACCACTAGTTACGAAGTAGTGCAATTCCGACCCGGGAACCCTGGAACCTCCAAAGACGACATCGATCTTGGGTGGGGTAGTTCACCTGATTTGTACGATATCTTCATTACGGGCGATGTCTTGATGAAGTTGTTCTTATACCCTGACGAGAGGGTGAGAAAGGCGGTGCCGTTGCAGATCTGTTCATGGGCGCAGGAAGGTGTGACTAACATGGAGCTTTATTAGACCACTCCATGGGCATGATGCGTGTTCCATTGAGTCTGAAGCGATATGCAGCGTGTGGACGTATAATATGTATTGTGTGTTTTATGTAATTCGGTTGCAAACGACCATGGCCCAGCACTATCCTTTCCTCTTGTTCTGTGCCAATGCTGGTGTGCCGGACCATGAGGTACTCAATAGTGAACGTATAGTAATGATAGCAAACAGATGTTCCCCGTTTCTTCTTCTTCCCATAAGGGTGGTCGATTACTTCTTACCACATGTTTCGCGACACGACTATCCGCGTGGTCATAAAGGGAGTGGAATTCTTAATCAGGAATCCAATTTCTCTCCACGCTTAAGGGGATTAGTGCAATGAAAGGGCCAACAGCCATCAATGTATTGCCAACACCAGACTCGCGTTACCCATAGTGATGGAAATGTAACATGGAGAGAGTGACAGGGTCGCTTCGAATGATGAACAGATGGCTACCGCATTTTGCGTGGAATTAAACGTAATAGGTATGTTGTTTCAAGGCGTCTGGCGCCTGGCGTCATTGTCATCTGACAGAGAATGTATGCGAGTCTTTGTCGTATGTGATCCAAGTTTGATGCTAGACGGCAGTTAGAGCGAAAGAGCGCAATAGCAGTATATGAATACTTGCCTTCGCAATAGAATAACCAAGCCTCAATACCCTCTCCATACGGTTCTTCACTGTACTTGCTAATTCCAGGTATCGCTCTTCCTCGTCGTGCTCCCTTTCGAACCATTTCTTGGGAAAGTAATCGTCCGCCCAGATCAAGCCTCGCACGAGGTAATCTTCCGGCAGCGGTAGCTCGTCGCCCCTTTCCCCCTCTCCAGGGAATACATTTGAGGCCAACAAATCATTGATGTTTGGTGTTTGCGTTTGCGACTGACTTTGTATCTGGTTCTCAGTCTTGACCAAGGTATTCAGAAAAGCAACGAGTTCAGTCCAAGGTGCATCTTGAATGAGATCGGAAACGTATTTACTAGAAGCGAAGCTGGAAAGAAAAGCGAGCATAATGTGTACGTGAGGAAGCACGTTCTTGTCGCCAATGCGGCGAAGGACGAGAGCAAAAGTCTCGTGAGTAATTAGTTTGGCGTTGGGAATTGTGCCACGCATTGCCCATGGCTTTATCCCGTGTGCCTCATCTCCTTTCAGCGCCTCCGAGATATCTTTCTCACTTAGTATCGGTTTCGTTGGGTTCTGTTGGTCAGCTGAGGATGCACTCCGGATCTTGTCTTCAACAGCGTTTTGAGAGGGGTCCTGTGCCTTCAAGTTGATCGGATGAAGGGAAGCCTGGCGAAGAATGTTCTCGTTCAGCCCATATTCAAACCAACTGGCGATGTTGGTCACTGCGATATATACGCCCTGCTCCTTCCACTTCGCTGTCACACGTCCGATATGATTGTCCAAATTTCCAATAAACTCTGCCTTTGCGCTGAGGAACTCGTCCTGACCTTTGACATCCATTACTGGCGACTTTTCGAACAGTAGACCATGTGCTTTGATGAAGCTGGTATCGATCGCTAGAGCATGCGTAAGAGTTGCGCCTGCACGACCAAGAATCGGGTCCAACAGAGTCAAGATCGATTCCCGCGCGCTCTGAAATGGCTTGACGCAAGTCAAAGACCTGGAGTAGTAGTACATCTGTTGGAGGGCATTGGGCCGCGCCAGAATGGCCAAATGATGATACAATCGACCCACAGTAGGATTCTTATCAGCAGCTTTGGTATACCAAGAGCGTGCGACGCCTGCCCAGGTCTCGCGGTCGCGGACGTCCTCGTCTTCGATAGCCATCCGGTAGCGTCCAAGGTCTCCTAGGCATTCGATCCATGTATCCTCGAAAGCCGGAACGGTTTCATACAATAACGCCATCATTTGATAGGCTAAATATATGAACGCCAACATATAATCGATACTGTCGGGAAGACGTCTTCGAAGTAGTTCCAAAAAGGAATGAATCCCATGCTTCCACATCCGCGCAGGCATGGAATATTTAGCCGCAAGACGACGAAGAGCTGGCGATGCAGAAGGGTGTTGACTAGCTAGAAAGAAATCGTGATGCTCGTGTAGAAGAGTGCGATGAAGAGCGATTAAGGCCTGCCAATGATCAGATGCAAGCTTGGTGTCGCTGTCTTGCGCAGCTGCAGCTTGCGCACGATCAACGTGTATACACTTAGTCTCCACCATAGTTAGTCCCGCATAGATTGATTTCACTTCAGATGCAAGTTGCTCTTGAGAGATAGGCCTACTATCTGGCTGCAACAGTAGACCTGGATACCGAGGATCATAGCGCTGGAGCTCAATAAGGCCTGGTTGGCGTTGAGATTGTTGAGGTTTAAGAATAGATCGTTGTGTTGAATGAGCAGGGGATTGAGGTTGCAAGGATTGTAATTGATTGCTCTTCGTAGCTTCCATTGACCATTCGCTGGAGGGCTCGGGCGTCGTCTGGTATGGAGATGGAGTACCTTTGGTGCTCTGCTTTGGGTCAAAGAGGCGTGCATCTTGTGGTTTCGGTCGTGTCCGATCCGATACAACAGTATGAGGAATCTGTCTCGAGTATTCCGAATCGACTACCTCCACATGAGAAGGACCCTTTCCCCTCGGACTAGTAAACTCATGCTCTGCCGGTCGTTTCCTACCGGACGGTGGCGAGTTCTGTCGGGAGTTCTTTCCTGAATCTATAGTAAGACCTCCAATATCAGGTGCTGACCGATCTCCCGCAGTTGCAGCTGACGAGTGATCCGACCTTCTAATCATGTTAACAGTTGATCCAGTAAGTGTCGTGTATCGTAAATCTGTCCAAACTGACCTGAACTTTATACTCAGCTCGCGAAACTTATCTCGTGCCTGTCTCGAGTTCAAGCCCTCAAAATCGGCACGATGGTCTATCCTTCCATGGTCATATAGCTGTTCAGCGTTCGGGAAAATCCGGCCTTCGTGTCCTGGATAAGGACAGGGGTAGGACCTTGTGACTGTGTTCTGGGTTTTGAGCGCCTGAGCAAATTTCGACTGAACGAATTCACCAGTATCCATCATGTAAGGACGATTTTCAGGTGCAAATCTCTCTTTCGTGCTCGGTATGTCGTATGCGCCAAGTATTTGGCAGGAAAGACGCAGAAGAATTATTGATTGGTTGTGCAGATCCCCACATTCCCGTCTTGCGCCGCGCACTCAGGTTTGGCGTGGCAAGAATCTTTCGACTCTGGATCCCACGCAATGTGTCGCAGGTCTTGTTATTGCGCGATATCGCACATAGATCTGACCAATACTGAATACAAGTTTGGGGGCCGAAAGTGCAAGTGCGCAGATTGTAGAATGTGCTTCACCTTTGCACTGACGCAACTTGTGTGAAGACTAAGGCAGCGGCGTTGCGGCTGTGGGGACTGAAATGATACAAGAAAGCTATGAAGTGCGTAGCAAGCATGGAAAGCAAGAGCATAAGTGGTGGATCATCGTAGTTAAGAGGCTCTGCTTAGAGCAGGCAGATAGATCCGCAGAATTGCGAGCAGGCAACTAGGCAACCGGGCGCCAAGCACGCAGCATGTGGAGGCCACCCACATCAAACCATGCAAGTGTTCGGAAGGACCAAGAGCACTTGCCCAGCTGAGACCTGGGTGTACATGTTTCGCATGCTCGCTATTTTATAAGGTCAGAGCAGGCAAACATCTTAGCTCATATCCTGCTTTGCCGCTAAATTTCAGCCCACGATTTTGGCTTTCGCTGAACTCGACGCAATGGTGTTCACCTCGTTCCGCATGCGTTAATATTGAGTCCACGGCCGTGTGGTTGGTGTATACTAACGCCATGATAGCCATGCGATCCTTCAAAATGAGTCCTCCTCGGCCTTATTGGTGGCCACACTATTTGCTTCTCAGGCCCGACGAGCACTCTAAATGCATCTTCCGGCTTTCACTCAGCGCCAGTCATAAAGCAACGTCCGCAGACTACAGTAATGCGACGTTGCTGTGGCAAGTCGTACTGATAAACAAATGGATTGACTGCTAGGCTCAGCTCACTGAACGATCGAGTGCACAATTCATGAGCTTCTCGGGGTCTGCAGTCTGTCTTCACCGGTCTCGTAACTCCTCAAGCTTACTTGAGTGGTAGCGTACCTCCACATTCATAATTACATCACTGCAAAGGAACCTTCGACATCGCTGAGAATAGATGCACAGCCCCGACAAGTACCAATGCTGCGACAGCGTTCGTTTCAAGTTCCGAACCTTGAATCCGAAGGGCTTCCCGTATCAAACTACCCCTTGGATGGCATACATCTTGAATTGCTAACAGCACGACAAGGCAGCGTGTTAATGGAAGCAGGGTTCAAGTACCTCTCTGTTGGGGCGAATCACTGCCCGGTTAACGCGACTGGACGATTGCGAAAATCTTATTAGAAGAGGCTAACAAAATGTATGCGTCTCTACCATACATTCCCTCCGATGCATATGTACTGCATTCCATGGCAGTGTGCAGAGAAGTGGTAGTATCCATTCCGCTAGAAGATGTATGCCATTCTCGGTGATGCCAGCACAAGACCAGGGGCGCTGGAAAACCGTACGTGTCACACTGATGCCCAACGCTCGCGACCACACAAACGCTTCAACGTAGCTCCTTGGGCTCTGTATTGTCGAAGAAGAGACCCTCTTTTGGACAAAAATTCTCCTGCGCTTAAATGGGACCACGTGTTGGCACTGCGAAGCAAGATTTCGCAACAACACTGAACAACTAGTGCTGTACTGAATATATGCGATCCGATGCATCACAAACATTGAGCAAGGCGTTCCAGGCGGGATAGGTCATTCCGTAAGTTGAGCCTTTATCTCTGCGCCTTTACAGCCTCATACTCGACCGGTGAAGGATCTGGAGAGGTGGAGTTTAGGACAGAGTTCTCGAAACACTAACCTTGGGACCGAGAGCATAGTAATGGAGATGCAAATGGTCCCGAAATGTGTTTGGATTCGGCCTAACAAGGATGCGAAGCGAACGGAACCTGACTCTCCATCTGCCATCAGGAGAGGGGCTAAAAAGTACATTCTTCGCGGTGGTTATCTATCCGTTCAACACTGGGTGTTGTACGAAAGTATTGATGTTTTGATTCGCTCTCACGCGCCGGAATGTTCTAATGTTGCTATGAGAACTCGAGCTCGCCTGAACCAGAATTCTAGGATCAGTATTGTATCCGGCACCTGTCTGGAAGGTTTTTCACTCCGGTTTGTCAACGGATTTGACACTATAAGTCTTATTGGCTGAACAGATCGGCGGCACGAATATGGCGACACGCAAGATGGATATTGTATCACTAGAGATAGCGGAAAAACGAAGACTCGAAAGATCTCTGTAGTTTCAGCATGAGCATGGTATGTTGACAGTTGGCAATGGTTTCACTAATTCTACGTGCTTGGTACGGCGCCGAAGGTTTATCGTCCTGTGGAGATGCTTGCATAGTTCAAAACAGCAATGCTTGACATGGGCGCAAGGATCAGCTTGAGACAGGAAAAGACAAGGGGCCATAGCTTCTCGATTACCGAACCGGCCTTGAAGCATTCGCACTCTGATCATATCAAGTGTATGAGCTCAATAGTTCGTGCTTAATCTAAACGTGGACGACGATAGCTAGGCTTCACAAGTATCGAAAACAGTCATGACTGTTTGACACAAACTGTAAGCCTGAATTTGGGTAGTCATGTTATAGGAAACACTCTTCCTAGACGAAACGGCTAGCTCAAGCAGAATTTACAGCTTCACTGGGTTCGGCGGCCGGGCCGCAGGATACTGCACCAATCTCGCGGAAGCACACGCACGACAGAGAACGCTGTCATGCAGTACGAGCGGGGTTTCGTAAATGTCGTTCTGCCGGAAGCGGCAATCCATGATGCTGACTGCTCTATCATTCGTGGAGGCATGACTGATATCCACTAGCAGATCCTGCGTTGTGCAGGAGCCTGTGTAGATATCGACTTCGATGCACAAGGTTGCGATAGCTCGGTTGCAACACCAGGGCGAGTTTCGAAAGGCTGACTGAGACTTGGGTTAACAAGTACGCTTGGATACGCAGATAAGGCGATGCAAGCCATTTCACAATCACAACGAGGCTGCTTATGCATGTCGATTCGGCCACTTGTAAGTCTTCAACTGTAGTAACTCATCTAAATCTCCCGCTGGTAAGTCATGCCTAGCGCAACAGCCGCGCAGCTGTTCGTTCCACAAGGCCATGTAACACCACCTGCTGACTTCCCAAACTATCACGCGTAATCTGAACTTCCGGTCTATCTGCCTTGTTTGTCGGGCAGCCACATGAGATGTGACCGGGTACGGACGACTTAAACGATAATTGGGAACCGAATAACATCACCGGATGGACGCGAACACGCACTCACCGTTGCGTGCACTTGAGACATCATGGTCTGGGAATGGGGTCTACTTGTTCAATGTCTCAAGCACCGATCAAATCTTAACGAACATGGATCATCACAATCACAAGCGAGCGAGTCTTTACCCCACGATTGACCTGACACTCAAGCGTATCGGCGAGAAGGCAATCGAGAGACACAGAATATTTACTGCGAGCAATAGGGAAAATGCCTACAAACAACTCCGGAAAAAGCTTGTAGGCGCCGTACAACTTACTTGCTTTTGCCAGATTGGCGCATATGCCTCGTGGGAGCAGGCTATCGTAGCACGACGCACAACAGGGGCGAGAGAAGGAAACATTTGGCTATGGCGATTAAAGAATTGGTGCTCCATCTCTTCATATGATGGCCTACATCGATGACTCTGTACCACGTATTGCTAAAGACTAGAATGACCCACATATCGAAGATGAGAGTCGTTTTGGTGTTGACGCAGGAATCTGACAAATGTGGGGTTGATCAGGCAACGAGGAATCCAAAGTACCGTGCAAAGACCAAAAGGAGGCAACACCGGCGATCACGCAATTTCAGCCACCAGGAACCATATAGTAAGCGCAGACTATCTTTGGGGGCCAAATTCGTGAGGGGGGTTATGCTGTAGGGCTAAGAGTCCTTCATTCGCAAATGCGAGGGTCAGATGCGAAAATTGAGTCGGCAACTACCGTGTCTTCTATACCTAGGTAGTCATAACGGTTCGCAATCTTGCGCGCGGTTGGATTAGCCATCACAATATGATCACCTAGACACATTGAGAGCCATCTCCGTTTGGTATACAGTTGACGAAGACTAGTCAGCCATACAATGTCATCTACAAGTTCTGACAGGCATAACAAACGCCACGTTCACTTCGGACGCCAGCTTTCTAACAAACAGTTCATTGAGCAGAAGGTGGCGCAGCAATGAGACCTGGAGAAGCGAAGCACAGCATGTAAAGCTCTTGTTATTGCTACGCAACTTTCGGACCACTTCTCATGGAAACGAATTATCATCGAAAACCACAACAAGTACCAATGTCCGAGCCGTGGCCACCAATTGGCTCGACGAACAACAGGCTTTGTGAGCAAGAGACATCTTTCTGGTTATCTTTTTCGGCTTCTTTATCTACAACCGAATCACTCCGCGTTCACCGGAAGTAGTCATTGATGGACTAACGGATCGCGTAAGGCCAATTCGATGGACTGGACACATTGTAAAGTGCTTGCGACGGACAATGTCGACAAAGCCGTATTGAGCCGCGTGGCATTCTTAGTATGGAAACGACTTTCGGCGCACCACTTCCTAATCGATATAGTCAATACCGTGGCTGAAAAGGATAGTGACGCCGGGCCTCAGCCGCCATGGAAAGTGTAATGGGAATGTGTTCATCTTTATCCAAAGAGCTAATCATTCTACCTTAAGTGACCGTTATGAACACGCACCACTCATTTGGGTCTGTTCTAATACTACGAAGTTCCATAGCAAGAATCATGCAATAGTTGAGCTGCCGTTCCAAGGACGCATGCAGTCTCGAATCCCTTCCCATTCCGCAAACACAGCCTTCTCCGGCATTTGATCTAGTCGTTGTTCTCAGCTACAACATGCACACGCAGAGAGAGCTAGGAATTGTATGGAAATCGAAACAGGGACATGCGGAGATTGCTATGAGCTATCGCTTGCATGAACATGATTACACTATGTCGTCTTTATTTAGGACGACGCGTCACAACGGCATACGACATTGACTTGGTCTGTTTGGGAGTCAGCAATGCGCCTTTCGCCTGTAGGCAACCTCTTGGAAAAAGGCGCATGTGTTCACAACAGCCTTCCTTAGTAGATCGCATAGTTGGATATGATCGCGGTCAGGTTCCTTAACTTGGTGACGAATTGGGTGGCTGTGTTGTTGTTGCGTCGTATTGGAAAATGCTAGATCGCAACGACTACCTCTTAACAGCTGACCGGATCTGAGTAGTAGTCGTGGGATCATCGTATTGAGACAGAAAGATGTAAGCATGCCATTCCTCAAGTGGATAGAAATAAGTCGTTTGTGCGATGCGATGATCGACGGCCGATGGCGCAGCTCGGTTGCGGAGATTAGTCGCACATCCTCCACAATCAATCTTCAAGAGTGAAGCTCTCTACATCGTAAACAAACTCCGATACCGTATGTCGTACTTGGCGATGTAGAGTGCGTTTTCCGATTTCCCAGTGCTAGATAGGCGAAGCAATAGCTCGTATATCGAGTTGGATAAGGCTAAACGACTGACTGATGCGAACAAACGAGGTTTTAGTTTCGCGTTGATAGCCGTTACCCAACCCATTGCTACGCGCCTCAACATGAAGTCATGGAATGTTCGTCCGAGGAAGACCTGCTGTGGTCCTGTGTTACGACAAGATACGACAAGTCATCTCAAGCCTGGATACCACAACTGATATCTACGAAGAGAAGGCGATGACAATGACAATACTAAGCGAACTTTTCCGACTCAGGGAGTGGAGAAGTTTGTAAAGATCAGCGTATCAACATCGTAGGAATAGTGGAACACCTGTTATGACATCACCTTGAAGCAACAGATTGAGGCGAACACCGGCTCGAGGCCTGCATAATAAATGCGCTTACATACTCGACCACATATGGCACCCGCGTGCTTTGCGCGACCGTGGTTCTCGTATCGGATCCTCTAATGTGTAAAGACTTCGGGGTCACTCAGTTACTCCGCGCGCACGGCACCAGAACGATCGTCCCCGCTTGTCTGCGGGGTTCTCGGTGCGCCAGGCAGCTCGCGCGGAGGATTTCACCGACCGCCATCGCAAACCATGCCGTTATCACAGCTTAGTGAGCAACAACGAGCAACCATTGCCGACCGCACTCGAGTATGGGAAGTAAGACGCTTCTGCCAGGTATTGCCATCTGTCGTCAAATACGTACGCGGCTCGGAAGCTGGCCTCACAGCCACGCTTCCAGAGCGGCAGGGACGTTATATCAAAAATGAACCGGACGGCGCGCTCGCTGCTATGCTGCGTTGCGTTATCCATCAAACGGGCGCCGATTTGGCAATGGTCAGCTTGCTAGACGACCATACTCAATACTTCATCTCCGGGGCCAGTCGGGATGATGCGAATGATGCCAAAGTCACACTGGGTAAGTGAATTGGACACCATGCTAGAACTACACTAGCAGAGAATCTAACTTATGTAGAAGATTCAACTAAATGGTATGGATGCGAATCAGTTACCCATCATGGAGGCCTGTGTGAGCGGACTATCACACGCCGGAATCAGCCCGGCAACTTGGCTATTTATGAAGAGCTCGACATGGCCACGTCGGAGAGAACCAAAGACCTACCTTTTGTAAGGGGCGACATCGCCAAGTTCAGACACTACGTGGGTGTGCCCCTAAATCCTTATGATGGTCCAAATATCGGTACAGTGTTCATATTCAGTTCCACGCCGTCGAAGGAAGGCTTGTCAGAGACTCATCGTTCATACTTGTTTGAAACAGCATCACATATTATACGGCACTTGGAACAAGCAGTAGAGGCGCTGGAAGGCAAAAGATTGCTCAAGTTTAACCAAGGTGTGGCTTCGTTACTGAGGATGGGTTCCTCTGCAGGACTGGCGGCTGAGTCTGCGCAGGAGCAGCCTTTGCCAGAGAGTCGTGATGAGCGGCAGTCTCTGGTCTCAAACCTATACAACGATTCCGCTCTACGATTATACCAGCTATCAGCGACGCTGCTTTACGATGCTTTCGAGTTTGATGGAGTTCGAATTCAAGAACTAGGACCCTCGGGTAACTTCGTCAACAGAAATCCCGCCTGGAATGGCTCTAGTATATTGGCAGAGCATCTAGGACCCAGAGCTCATAAGCCTCAGAGCCTAAGCCATACATTGACTAGCCGACTACTCGAATTATTTCCTCAGGGGGCTGTCTTCCAGGTACTCGACGAGAAAAGCAAGATTATTGCTGCTACAAGTGCAAGTGACGTTGCTCTAGTTGATGATCCAGTCATATCAATGGAGTTGTCGAGGTCTTTTCCAGGAGCAGTACAAATCGTTCTGATGCCGCTCTGGGACACCTTCCATGAACGGACCACCGGTGCAGTATTGGGATTTGCCAACACTCAGTCTAGGGTATACCTCGGCTCGACGGATCTTGCGTCTATTTCTGCGTTTTGCACGACCATCATGACGCAAGTGCGGCGTCTAGAAGCACAAGCTATGGACAAGATCAAATCAGACTTCCTCGGATCAGTATCTCACGAGATGAGGACACCACTACATGGCATGCTATCAAGCCTTGAGCTTCTAGCTGATATACCGCACGATGCACACCAACACGACTTATTAGAAACTGCGAGATACAGTGGCCTATCACTACTTGATACCATAGAGCGTGTTCTCTATTTCAGCAACATAAGTTCTGGATCATATAATTCAGAACATACAGGATCCAATGTCCCAAGCGAAGGACTCGTTCATCCATCAAGTCTTGTACAACACAAGCCGGCAGCTTGCCCACGGGAGAGTGACACTGTAGAGGCTATTAACATTTGCGAAGATATCATACATAGTGAGTCGCAAAGATTACGTCTCAAAGAGGCTGTTCAATCTGAGCCCTCCATGGGTTAGTGCACTGGTAGTCCGTAGTAAAAAACTGGCTCAAGCTCACGTTCGACAGTTGCGATACATCCTCCGATTATAGTGTTCGATACGAATGCCACATGGTCCTGCCGCCTGAAGGCTGTCGGTAGCTTTCGCGTAATCTTAACCAACTTTATGGTAGGTTGTCCAACAAACATGTCTATATAAACCATACTAACACTGAAAAGAATAATGCCTTGAAGTTTGGTGAGTCGACAAACTGTGTTCGAGTTTCATTGAACATCACGAATGATGCAATCAGTGTCTCTTGCACGGACGCTGGGCAGGGCATAGCTTCGGACTTTATTCGCCATTCGATATTTGATCCATTTTCTCAGGAAAATCCTGTCACCGAGGGCACTGGTCTTGGACTTTCTATAGTCAAGCAGACGGTTAGTATGTTTGATGGCGATGTACAGATCGAGTCGAGCAAGAAGCAAGGTTCTACTTTCACAGTTAGACTCCCATCGACTCAATTGCTGCACCGCCCACTGGATAGTGCAGCAGAGTACATCGACACTCAATCTAGTACTGCCGAGTCGCCTCAGCTAGGGATCAGTCTTTTCGCCCCAAGGCGGTGGGAGACGGGCGATGTAGTAAGAGACCAACGGCGACTTGGATTACTGCTAGATTCGCTTACGCAAGGTCTAAGACGGTGGTTTCGTATTACGGTCATTCCTTGGGAGATTGCAAGCATGAATTCGCAGTCGCGGCTGCTTATCGCCTTGAAAGAAGACGAAGAAAGCGCAAAACTGACCTACGGTGGCACATACAGCGACGCTGAGCGTATCTTGCTTTATCCAGATTCGCAAACCGCGCTCAGCCCACACACAACGCCTTCCGAAAAGATCGCAGCCATTACTGGCCCAGTGACTATTTCAAAACTTCAAGGTGCGCTGGCGCACTTGTTCCCTGACACAGTCTCATCTCCCGAGCTTCGTCGCCATTCCGACGCTACATCAGTAACTACGGGACGTCAGAAGCCATTGGGCAGAGGAAACCTCAATCAGTCGAGTGTGGAAACAAACGACACATCCGACGACCCACCGATATCATCACTGTCAGATTTAGTGCTCGAAGAAAACCCGAAATCAGACGGCGAAAAAAGCGCTGTGCATCCACAGTCAATGCCGGTAGCCGCCCAGTCCAGAACTTCAGAAGTACAAGCATCGAGAGAGCCCATCGAAGCACGGCCACCAGAACAGAACATACCAATACAGATAGTGCAAGTAGAACAGCCGAATCTGACTACGCCATTGAAAGCACTCGCAGCGGAGCCGAAACTATTGCTTGTCGACGACAACGCTGTCAATCTTAAGGTGCTTACCATGTATGCACGCAAATGTAGCAAAACGCCTGCAACGTCTGTAGGTGGTGGTCAGGAAGCCATTGATGCATTCAAAAGCACCATGGAACCGAATAACGGTGAAGCTGCGCAACCTTTTGATCTTATCTTCCTCGATCTCTCGATGCCAGAGGTCTCGGGCTTCGATGTAGCGAGGGAGATTCGTGAGATGGAAGCACGATTGAAGCGTGATAGGACGTACATATGCGCACTGACTGGGCTTGTGAGTGGGAAAGATCGTAATGCAGCATACGAGTCCGGTGTTGATAATTACCTTGTCAGGCCTGCACGGCTGAAAGATCTGCAGGGTGTTATTGAGCTTTGGAGAAATAGCCTAAGTCAGTAATAAGAAGAAAACATGGTAGATGTTTGCCTCAATGTACTTCTCGTATCTCTCGGTGAATGTGACCTACGGAAGCATCAAACATATGGTCTGGTTATTGATAAATCACAGATGCTCCAACATTAGGAGACTAGCTAGGAGGTCACGTGTCTCTTCCATATCTCCAGGTACGTCCGGCGTGTTCGCAGCGCTACTGTCTGTGCACCAGTCGATGATGATAAGATAAATGCAGAGGACATGGCTTTCCTCAACACGTCTCGCCAGCGAAAGAACGACTGCGAAAGCCACATTCCAACCAAAGCAAGCAATACATTGGTCCATGGCACTCGGACGTATATGCACTAGTGCCTGCGGAGGACTAACGCGCCCGAAATGCCGATCGCGTGGGATCTGATAATCAAGTATCGCAACGTCATGATCCTGTATCTACGACGAATCCGCAAAAGTCTCGCCCTGTCAGCCCTTTGATGGAGGACCGCTAGCGGACGTAATGTCGCGGACAAAGTGTTGAAACACGACCTTGACTACCTTCTCCACTCCTTCTCACTGCTGACCGTCGCGATTGTTGGCGGCTTTGGGGCGTTCTATTCTTGGTAAGCTGAATTCGCACTTGTACCCGATGCCGAAGATGATTACAATCGCCGTCATTAGCTTGTCACTAGCGAGGCGCGACGTTTCTTCGCCCATTACCGTGTCACCTAATGAGGGGAAGACTGACTGGAGACGTAGTCGAGTTACAGCAATGCGCACGCGGTCGTGAATCAAACAGCGCCCCACGATACCCCGGATCCCCACCTTCGACAGCAAAAACACCCGACGCGACAAGAGTTGGAGGACACAAGCGATTCGAGATGGCTTCCACGACAGACGCCGCCTTTGTTGAGGATATCGAGGTGGAGCAGGAGTTTAGAGCGCGCGTCAGGAATCTCAAGAAGGCGAACAAGTCAGGGGCAAGATCTTCAGGACCCGACAGCGATAACGAAGACGCGCCGCTGTTGGGTTCTTCGAGGCACAATAATGGGGGTGCGAATGGCGATGGAAATGACAACGAAGAAGAAGAATGGGCAGGAGACGCCGACTTTCGAGGTCTTCCCTGGTGGAAGCGGCCCTCGGTACGCGCAACGAATCCCCTGCACTCAGAAATCACTGGCTGACGGTCACAGATATTTTGGCTATTGCCGCCCTTCCTACTGTTCACCATAGCCTTCGGTGGTATTATAGTACCCAAAATCAACCTGATTATGGATTTGGTGTGCGAAGAGTACTATGCTACTCTGGAGACCGATCCAATATCCTCTCCCATGGACCCGGGGCAAGATCGATGCCAGAACGACGCCGTTTCCTCTCGCTCATCGCTCTTCCTTCTATACGCCAGCTTGTGCTCCGGTATACTCTCTGCTATTATAAGTCCAAAGATTGGTGCGCTCTCAGACCGGTATGGAAGGAAGAAATTCATGATTGCCAACACCTGCGGTGCGCTTTTCGGTGAGGTGCTCACCATACTGGCTGCCAAGTTTCCCGAGACTGTACACGTCAACTGGATTCTTGTCGGCTACTGCTTGGAGGGCATATCTGGATCCTTCATCGTCGGCATGGCATGCGCGCACTCCTACGCATCCGACTGCGTCGCACCACAGAAACGGAACGTTGCCTTTTCATACTTTCACGCTTGTCTGTTCGGTGGTATCGCCATTGGGCCTGCACTGGCTGGATACATCATCAATGCGCGCCAGAAGTACGTTGGCAAGACTGAAGCTGTCTTGCTCATCTTCTACATGGCTCTCGGTGCTCATTTGATCTTCATTGCGTTTCTCACATTCCTTGTTCCCGAATCCCTCAGCAAAGCACGCCAAGAAGCTGCGCGTGAGAAGCGCAGGGAAGAACTTGAACGACAAGGTCCTGCTGGAGATTTCATTAACCAATTACGCTCCATCAACCTCTTTGGTCCTTTAAAGATCCTCTGGCCAACTGGCCCTGGAACATCGTCTGCTGTGCGCTGGAATCTCCTTTTGTTAGCCGCCACAGATACCATCATGTTTGGTGTCGCAATGGGTGCCATGAGCGTTGTGTTGGTCTACACTCGCCGGCAGTTTGACTGGCACGAACTAGAGTCTGGTCGTTTTACCACCATTGTGAACAGCTCCCGTGTGTTCGCTCTTCTCGTCATCTTGCCTATTCTAACGCGCATCTTCCGCGGTAAGAATGGCGCGGCGCGTCTGCGCAGCTCGGGCTCTGATCTGTTCGATCTTTCCGTCATTCGAGCCGCTATCTTCTTCGACATGGCTGGTTTCATTGGCTATGCCCTTGCCCGCAAGGGCGAACTATTCGCGCTCTCTGGAGCTATCGCTGCTGTTGGTGGTATCGGTTCACCCACGCTTGGTGCTGCGTTGACGAAACACGTACCGCAGGATCAAGTCGGTCAATTGCTAGGTGCAACAGGTTTACTTCACGCCGTTGCACGTGTGGTAGGTCCAACTATCTTCAACGGCATCTATAGTGCGACTGTTGGGACATACCGCCAAACTGTCTTTGTGTGTCTTGCGGCAACCTTTGGAACCGCGTTTGTGTGCAGTTGGTTTATTCGTCCACATGGTAAGTTGCAAACACATCCCCATTGCATGGTTGACGCTCATACAACACAGTATATATCGACGAAGATGACAAACGCGCTGCGCAGGCGGATGGACAAGAAGCATAGCTTGCTTCCCTCCATGCTGGCGCTTCAATCGCAATCATTTCGGTACCTTAGATCTTTTGGACGCCATGTCCTTTTTCATCGTATATATCAGTGTAAACAGCGGGGGCGTTTGGGAAGGCATTTTGAAATGGATTACCTATTGTTATCTTGAAAGCCTGTATACTTATGGTAGACGCGGTGGCCCAACATATTTTCCTATAATGATCAAGCTATTGGTCCTTCATTATAGACTTCCTCGCATAGTGTTTGCTTACATGCTGCTGTTCAGGAATGTATAGAGCTATCTGCAAGCTGTGGACTGTGGGCTGTGAACAAGATATCATCACTCTCACGATCGTCGTCTGCTTTGCAGCAGCCTCTAATTGCCCGTGCCTCCATCACCCTGTGTACAACGACGTTGCGATCGTTGTCGCTGCTTGATGTCTTTCGTGTCCCAACACTCGTGCTCCTAGAATCCAAGTCCGGCGAATACCTACAGTCGTATCAGTTCGGATAGCACACTCTTAGTTCGTACACCAAGATGCCCATTTCTGATGGCACATCTTCGAGATTGGAGCTCTTATAGAGTGCTGATGTCTCATCCTTGAGTGTATCGCACGAATGCCGAACCTGATGATGTTTGATGCCGACCTCGATTTCTTTACTTTAGCCCATACCGGGCGCATAGCTTGTATTTGCTGGTTTGTTACCTAGGTAGGTTTGGGACAGCTGGTAGCTTACCGGCGCTATAGCGGGGCTGACTAACGACCCTCGGGCCGTCAGGTACGTCAGCTTCCACGTTGCATCTTTCCGTGCCAATTGGCTGTCGCGCAACCATTACTACTTTCACTCTTCATCTGTCGCATTTCCTCTGAGTCGCTCCAAGCTTGGGTCTCAGCGGTCGCGACCCCAACTCAATGTCAACAGCATTCCGGTAGCATCATCACTGGACAGCCCTCTCTAGGGCCCCGCAATCGCCATGTCGAAAGAGAACCGCGCCTTCGATACCCAGAGATTGGGTGCTGGTTATGGCTTCGAGTCGCACCCAAAGCGCGCTATTGAAATGCCCCCAACATGGGTCCTTCTCGTAGGCTTGGGCTTTCTGCTATGTGCAATGGGCTTCTGGGTATGAATTCATACGCGCATCTGAAGTGATGCACGCAACTAATGCAACTACGTGTGATAGCTCTACATAGCATTGAATCTCCTAGCACCCACTCCACGACTGCCACGACGCTCCGAGAAACAATACACGACAATTCTACCCGACGGCGCAAGAAGCCATCCAAAGGAACTTCCGTGTTGGCTGGATAAATGGGCGGCAGAGAAGGAGGCAGCGAAGAAAGAAGCAGCGAAAGAGCCAGGAAGCAAGGTTGTCATACCACCCCAGATGCCTATTGAGGAACCAGAGCTGTTCATGAGCGTCGTGGTACCCGCATACAACGAGGAAGAGCGTCTGGAGGGCATGTTGGAAGAGGCCGTTGACTATCTGGAGAGTCAATATGGCGATGCGCATGCTGGTGGGAAGGGTGAGAAGAGTCAGAAAGGATGGGAGATCCTCATTGTGAGTGATGGCAGTACCGATGGCACCGTTGACAAAGCGCTGGAGTTTGCGAAGGAGCATCAACTCAGCCAGCATCCAAAGTCAAAGCCAGGGCCATGGTCGAAAAACGGTGACGCAAAGGCACCACATTCCACACACATTCCACACGGCAGTATTCGCGTCATTACACTTGAAGAGAACAGAGGCAAAGGTGGAGCTGTCACACATGGCATGCGACACGTTCGAGGCCAGTACATCGTCTTCGCGGACGCAGACGGCGCAAGTCGCTTCTCTGACCTCGGAGCGCTTGTCGATGGCTGCCAAAGCATAGAGGACAAACATGGACGTGGTGTCGCCATCGGTTCACGAGCTCACCTTGTCGGTAGTGAAGCCGTTGTCCAGCGCTCCAAGCTCCGCAACTTTCTCATGCACTCGTTCCACATCCTCCTGCGGATCATGACACCTCCGGCTACTGCGCGCATCAAGGACACACAGTGCGGCTTCAAGCTGTTCTCGCGACCGGCGTTGCCGTACATTGTCCCGTACATGCACTCTGAAGGTTGGATCTTTGATGTCGAGATGTTGATGCTCGCTGAAAGTGCTGATATCGCCATGATTGAAGTTGCGATCGGGTGGAAGGAGGTCATGGGCAGTAAGCTGAATGTAGTCTGGGATAGCATTGGGATGGCGTGGGGTCTCGCGCTTTTGAGAGCTTGTTGGATAGCAGGCATCTATCGTAGAGACTAAGTGGCTGAAGGTAGCAAAAGATATTCTGTTCTAGGTTGTACAAGCAAGTCCTTCGTGTGAACGCTATCACCGAGTTCCGTTGAGCCGTTCAGAGGTCGCCAATTGCTAGGTATGAAAAGCTTCTCAAAATCCTCAATCGCCATATGGTACATGTATCCGCTATTTTGATGATGAGACATTACGCTAACGATATTGGCTACCACAGAGTGGGCGTCGCCGCTTTGCGATCGTTTGCTCATCAGGATTGGACGCATATTGTAACATGCAGAAGTCAATTGTACGCTTGAGCTTCTTGAAACGTACATCGTCTTTTCTTTCGATGATCGGTTGGATAACGCTATATCCGTCTCCGGAAAGCATCATCTACTCCATCAGTTGATATCTCTTCTGCACCAGTACACAGTCTCTTTCTTCACTATTCATATCACATCCCTTCCAATATATACTTCTTGTAACCTTCACCTGCTGGCGCAAGCTTTGATCGCATCCAGCTCATGGAAGCCCAGGATATGGCAAAGACGGTTCAATGATGGACATCATCGATAGATGCACAAGAAGATGCACATATGCAACTCGAATGTAATTATGCGCTTTTGCAGCCCCCATCAGAACACATGTCCTTAGATACCTCATTGCTCACTCAAACCTCGCGATCCATCCATCACCAACCCTCTCACCTTTTGCGTCCACTCCACCCCAGAAGATTAGACCACTGCCTGTCTCCATAACATCCGCACCGAAAAATGCTCTCGGACCAGGATGCAGCTTGCCATCTTCTTCCTCCAGTTGCTTGTCAGAAGGTAGCTGTACTACCGCCTCTGCCCAGGACAGGTGCCCTGTATCAGCACCCAAGGCAGACCTGATAGCATCTTTGATTTTTGCTGGATTGATAGCGTTCTTGAGCGTCATCGACGGCTTAGCCTCCAAGTCACTTGAAGGTATCTGGAGGACCCAGGTGTCGCTGAACTGAGTGACCTCATCCGCATGTTTGGGATCTTCTGGCTCAGTGTTCGAAACGTCAGCAGAAGAGTTGTTACGAGCTCCAAGGAGATAGACAAGGTAGTTTCTACCCCAGCCAGTAGTTACCGGCAGTAGCGCTCCATCATGCCGTGCACGAGGGCCTGGTGCTAGTGGGTTGGTTGGAAACGTGAAAGACTCCCACTTTCTCTCTTCACTCGACGAGGAGACGCTGATGTGATGCAGCTGACTGCTCATAGGGTCGGAACCAGATATCAGCCATAGTTGACCGTTCGCTAGTGCAGCATTCGATGTTGCGACTGGTGCTGTCGGAAGCTGCGTCCAGTAGCGCGCAGCGATGTCGAATTGCCATAGATCTGATGCGTTGTCACCAGAGCCATCAACTCCTCCAAACAGTATCAGGTGCTGATCATGCGCAAAAAGCTGGGCATTGCGACGTGGGCCTGGGCCAATGTCTCCTGTTTCGATATCTCCCTTTGATGGTTGCAAAATATCCCAGCTTTTCCTCTCGGGGCTGAAGAGCCAAACAGAGGATTGCTCATCGATCAGACCGCCATTCTCGTCGCTACCGCCGTATACGGCTACATTCCCATGAAATGCGCAGGCTGCATGACTCGATCTTGCTGTAGGTGTATTCCCACCCTCAGATGTTGGCAAAGCTGGGATGATACTATAGTCCATCTCTGGTTTCCCAGAATACTCAAGAGTGACGATATGCACATGGTTGCTAGCAAGAACATTGTTCGCAGTGTCGCCACCGAAAACATAAGCTTTGTTACCGATCACTGTGACTGTGTGATTGGAGCGTGCCAACGAGCGTCTGAAAGTCAGCTGGGTTCTGGCTACAGAAATAGTAAGGTACATACGCCGAAGTATCACCTGTTGCTGTGGCTATGCGTGTAAAGGTAACCTTGAGAGGGAGCGTTGGCTTGGAGACGATGTAAGCAGCGTAGCCTGCTTCCGCGGTGTGTTCAACCACTTCCGCAGCGACATAAGCGCCTGCTGCGATTTCAGCCATGATGTTGGTGCTGATTGGCGAAGAATTTTCTGACTGGTTACCAGGCAGTGAGTCGATAAGACGTCGAGGATGAACAATAGTGGCAGACGTGGATGGCTTGGAGAGGGGCGAGGGCTAATGCAGGTACGCGGGCGACGATGACGTCAATGGTTCCACAGCGACTGTATCTGCGAAGTCGCCTTTGGGACGCATGTTGCAACCACTCCGAATGCGTCCATACAACATAATGCACAACACCTACGCTTGTCACAATCAGGACAACACGATCACGGTCGCTCGACCGCGGATCTCCAAGATGACGGTACCATGTCGCTTGGCTTCTCGGAGCTGATCGTAGATGGCTAAGATTTCTAGGGCAACGTACCTCGTTCATTCAATATCAAATTGATGAGACAGATATTGATATTCAAGTATACTCGTCATGAATGCAGTGCTATCATATCAAGCACTATGTTGTCGGACCCTCAAAGCCAACCCGCCGTATCACTACCCAATGGTTTCGGCATGATGTCCCAACCGACGGACAGGCCCTCAATGCAGGCGGAGTGTCTTACTGCCTCGAGGACCCCAAGGTGTGTGTGTCGCGATTCTAGATACTGCTTGACATCCTCCGGCTTCTGAAAATCTTTCCGGTCGAATCCACTTTTGCCATCGTATCGGCCTAAGGACCGCATATATTTCATGACAGCAGCTAAGGATACGCTAACCTCGTAGGCGCCCCCATCAGTGGCTCGTTTGTATAATGCAGCTATGATTCCGGTCGCCAAAAGATAACCAGCTCCATGATCGAATGCTTGACAGGGCAGGACGCGCATCGGCTCGTTAGCGCCATAGTGCTCGGCCTCTGCCACATTAATACCGGAACAAGTTTGCACAAGTGAATCAAACCCACGGTTTTCAGACCAAGGACCTTCAGGACCGTAAGCGCTGAGACTTGCCACAATCAGTCTTGGGTTCGCTTCCATCAACTCTGCCGCACTGAGACCTTTTGCCGCTAGGCTTCCAGGACGATAGCTCTGGAGGAAAACGTCGGCTGTGGAGAGTAGATCTAGCAGCTTAGCCTTGTCTTCAGCCTTCTTGATATCGAGCTGTACTGTGCGCTTGCCGCGCGACAGGTCGATATCTAGATCAGGAAGATCAGGCAAAGATGGCGATGTGATCCATATAACGTCGGCCCCATGCGCAGCTAGTGTTTTCCCAGCCACTGGTGCGGCTATAACTCTGCTCATCTCGATAACGCGAACACCGTGTAGGCACTTGTTCGTTATTTCCGTTGTTGGCTGCGGTGGCATATGCGGCTCAGAGTGTGCAATCCTCTCGAAGAGAACAGGGGCATCCGCGATAGCGCTGGCTTGGGGTAAAGCCTCCCATTGATCGATAGATCGTAGCGCAGCGATTACTGCTCCACGTCGCCATGCTTCGGTCTCCAATTCCACAGCTTTCCATTTCGAAACTTCTCGAGTGACATCTTCTTTCGTCGCATTTGGTGGAAGTCCTAGCACATGTAGTGCGTTCTGATGATGATTCGGGAAAGAATCGTGTATCCTCACATATCCATCAGATGCTTTGTGAAATCCACCAATAGCACCCCAGGGTGGGGACGCGGACTTCCCGTCGACAGTGTACAGTCGCTCAGATTTGAACTCGACACACGCGTGCTCGGCTGGAACCGTGACCCGAGGTATTGGGGATGCGTTCCGAACGGACCAAAGTAGAGCTGCCGCCAATGCAGACGTTGCAATGGTGGATTGTGCGAGAATGTCGACTTTGAAAGAGGACGGTAGGCATTTGGCATCTAAAGGTAAATGTAATGAGTTGAGAGCTTCCTGTGGTAGACCCAGCGTCTTCCACACGAATGCAACCGAGCCGAACGCATCAAGGTTCAGTCGACCCATTGGATCTGTCGGTGATAGGGAGACAGGTTCAGCATCCAAGAGATGTATGACGGATCTATGAAGGATGATGAGATGGATACAGGCTGCACTGGTTTGACGACAGTAGGTGTTTAAGCCCAGGAAAGTGAGCCACGCAGATCTCAAGAATATGGAAATTTATCCGAGTTCCCAGGTCCGAGAATGCAGCGAACTGAGCGTCGGAACATACGATCGGAAAAGCAAGATACGAGACATATCATAAGGCAGTACAGTCACAGATATACAGCCGACGATTGCCGAGTGTCATTATGTAATCAAGCCGTGAGCCTAATCGAGTTACCCGCCAGGTTCTTCGGACTTACGCTCAGATTCGTCTCGTCACGTCACAGGGATGTAGAATGTGCTTTTGTGATTACTGGAGGCCTTGCCCATAGAGTACCGGTTATTGGTCTGTGCGTTGGAGAGGACACGTGAATTGTAAATATGTACGAAAATAAATTTAGTACTATACACCAGCTATTTTCCAGACCCAGAACGCCAACACAATGCAACTCCATGAATGCAAAAACACCTATGGTAGCCCAAACTCCGCTTCATGCGCGTGCGTTGGCCACTATACATCATGTGTCCCACTAAACACTTCCAGCAACTTCTCCAAACCACTGTCTCAATGCTCCGGCCAACACTCCTGGCAACTCTCTGACATCTCTAACGACAAGGTAATATCTGAATGGGAACTGCTCCATATACTTGTACCTCACGATCTTGCCCTCGGGGGTGAACACAGCAGACTGCAAGTCCAAGATAGAGGTTTTCGCTTGGTCCTTCGCAGGCGCCGGCGGCTGGGCACCTGGGCTGTCAGATGGCGCTGGTACCGGTACGAAAGGAGCAGCGGCCGAGCTATCGATAATGATGAAGACGATCATCACACGCTCTTCTTGTGCTTTGCGAACAAGGCGCTGGATCTCGGCATGGTCATCGCAAAGACCATCACTGACGATGAGCATCAATTGCCAGAGGTCTTCACCTGCTGAACTTGATCCTTTTTGACGAGCATCCTTGAATAGCTCAAGACTCTTGTCAACCAGACCACGGACATTTGTTTTCTTAGCATCGAAACCGAATTGCTCGAAGACGCGTACACCCGCTTCGGAAGTGAATGGCTTGTCAAAGTCATGCGCGACGTTCACTTCGTCCCCGAAGCCCACGACGCTGACTTCACCAACTTCCAGCATCGATAGCGAGCGGGTAACTAGTGTTAGGGTTTTGAGTGCGAGACCACTTGCACCACTGTCGGCCATACTGCCACTGTTGTCTAACGCAATCATGACTTGGTAGCTCCTCTTACTTGGCATACTGCGTCGTAGCCAGATCTTGTCCCGCTTGTAGCCTGAAGCGATATAGGGGATGATGCGCTTTAAGTTGAGCCGCTTTCCCGTGCGGAAGTCGCCGCGGAGCTTTGTAGCGAGAGTTGGCGCGAGAATGAGGCGGAGGTGTTCTGTGAGTTGTTGGGAAAGCGAATGCGTCGACGCTTCGTGAGCCAGCCAGAGGGCACGTGCGGACGTGGGGTCCATGGCGGATGGTTCAAGGTGAGTGAGCGAGAGCTGGGCTTCAATGTTGTCTGCAGAGGACACTGTAGAAGAAGTGTCATTGTCAAGTTCGACAGCATCAGCCATGTCTTCGTCTTCTTGGTCGGGGAAGGGTCTTTGTTCGCCGACGAAAGCTTGCGGTTGACCTTCCATAGCGTTCGACTGCGGCTGCTGAGCTTCTTCGTCTTGATCTTGCGTCTCAGGCTCCTCCATCTCGGTGTCTTTATCAGCTTCCATCATCTCTTCGTCCTTGTCTTCCGGCCGAGTCGGCATCTTATCTTCCTCTTCGTTCATTGGAAGCGCCATGTCGTGATCCAGAGTTTTCGCTTGGTCCTCTGTCGCGGTACCCAATGCTTGTGTATCAGCTTGCTGTTCTTCATCGCCGAGATGCTCAAAGTCCGCGTCAGCCATGTCGATCTCTTTGTCTATCTGCTGAGCCTGCTTTTCATCCTTCTCCTGGGCGTCTTGAATCTGCTTCTGTTGATTGTACCACTTCTCAAGCACATCGCCCAGCTTTTTGAAAGATTGCGTTTCTTTCGACTCCTCAGGCTGCTCTCCGTGTCCGCCGGCGTCTGGTGCGGCTGTTTGTCCAAGCTGCCCGTCTTCGGTCGTTGGTGCTTGTTGCTGTTCGGCAGATTCTCCCTCTTGACCTTCGTCCTGGTTTGCGGCACTTGCGGAAGCTTGCTCATTCTTGTTCTTGTGTGCTTCCTCGTTGGCTTCGGTACCTGCACCAGCTTCGGCATTGGGATCGGCTTGGTCGGTATCTTTCTGATCACGAACTTCATCTTCTGGCATGTTTTCATCTGGAAGAGGAATGGCGTCATCGTCGTCCATGGGCTCGTCACCTTCATCTCCTTGCTCTCCTTCTGGCTGTTCCTCATCTTCAACATGGCCAGTCGTGTCTTTCTCATCCTCGCCTTCTTGCTCAGGGCCAATGTCTTCCTCCATGGTATCTGGCTGGCCGGGATCGACCTCCGGATCCATCTCGTCTTCAGGCAGATCGTCACCCATGTCCATATCGCCAAGATTGTCGTCTTCTTTGCCTTCGTCGTCTTGACCATCCATGTTCAAGTCTTCTGGTAAGTCCAATGTCTCCTCTTCCTTTGCGTGGGGATCCATCTGCTCTTTTTCACCAGCACCCACGTTCTCTTCCTGATCCTCGCCTTCCATCTCCATGTCTTCCTCTTCTCCTTCGCCCTCTTTCTTTTCATCTTCTGCTTCTTCCTTTTTGTCCTCGCCGCTCTTTTCTTCCTCCTTCTTCTCGGCAGCAACCTGCTCTTCTTGGTCTTCGGTTCCTACGTCGTCTTTTCCTTCTTTGTCCTTGGCGTCATCTTCCTTGCCTCCATCGTCCCACATTTTCTCGTCTACAGCACTAGGGCCGAGATCATCGACACTGCCAACTTCGCTTTGCGCATCGTCGTCTCCTTCCTCACCAGACTCGTCGCCCTTATCTTCCTTCTCTCCTACCTCCTCTGTCTCACCCTCCATCTCTTGCTCGCCCATATCGACTGCATCTTCCTGTTCTTCGATACTTCCCTCACGTTCGCCCTTCTGCTCTTGTGCCAGATCCTCGAGATCTTCGTCGTCCTCGATGTCTTTGGAGATATCTTCAGCGCCTTCTCCTTCACCAAGGCCAGTACCAGACTCAAGCTTGTCATCTTTGCCCTTCTGCGGATCATTCGACTTCTCTGGAGGTTGACAGAAACCTTGCGTGCCGATTTGGATGAACGACTTCGAGAGGCGGTGAAGTAGGTTTGCAGTGGATGCATGTAGAGCGTCGAAACGGTTGACGATATACTTGTGCGTTGCCACGTATTGGTCTAGAATGGGCTTGACGGAAGTGAACAAAGCGACTATCCCTTGTAAGTTCGCATCCTCATGAAGATGTTGCATCTTGTCGAGAAGGGTTTGCAAGGTTTCACTGATGTGAGGAGCGTGCAGGGCCATCAGCGCAGCTGAAAGAGCTTGCTCCTCCTTAAGGAGCCAGGACGCGTCATCCGTTGAGGCAGGAATGCCCGTCATTGCAGTCTGCACATCTTGCATTGAACCGAGGACGAGATCCAGAGAAGTGAGTATATCTTTGGCATGAGCCTCAACTGATATGCGCAGACTGTCGGAAGATCGTACAGCGTTGGTAGCAGGATAGCAGAATAGGAACGGTTCGACCTGCTGAAGTACAGTCCTCGCAATGTCGCTGTTAGTAGCGTAAACGCCGAAAACTCTCTGAAGTTCTGATAGGAAAGTTTTGACGGAATCGTTGACTTCTTGGTAAGCCAAGGACTGTACGTTGAGCGGCAGCTTTGGCGATTTGTCGTATGCATCAGCAAGGCCTTGGGCAGTGCTGGCCCAAGCGCGCAAGTCGCGGATCAACGCATCAAGCTCAGTCGTCTTCCCAAGCCTGGCTTGCGCATTCACTACGTCGCTTGCAGTTTGGAGCATGGCAGCGAGCCAACGAAGCTGCGGCTGTACGAAGCCTGATACATCTACGTGTTCTGATACCAGTGTTGATTGGTCGTGCTCCAATTGGCACAGGTCGGCGACAAGCGCCATTGGCGCATTGATCAGTTCAAGACTGCGTGCAGCCTTGCTGAGCACATTGCGCTGCCGGATAGAGGCATGCAACAAGCCCTCCAAGTAACCAATACTCCTTGAAACATCGTTTGCGGTCAGATCACCAGAGTGTTCCCTAGTAACTGCGCGGACCTGAGGCATAATATTGAGAGCTTTGTGTAGATGATACTCAGCAGCATGACCAATGCTCTCACTCCCTTTCACCAGAGATATAGTTGAGAGTATTGTCGAAAGCTCATCCTGCTTTGCTAAGGTGTCCACACTCAGGTTTGAGTTGATACCCATCTGCCGCAGCAGTTTCATCGTATCGGCATAGAGCTTGCGCTTCTGGGTCTTGAGATGTTGCACGGATGCCTTGTTTTCCTCTGTGAGCGTAGTGGGTGTAGCCTTCTGTAGCTCGATGATAGAGCCTGAGAGGTCAGTAATAAATTCGCTGATGTATGATGCGCCGTCAACAGTGGCAGTCTTTGGCGTTGTGAGATTGCGCATCATCGAGACCGTGACAGCAAGATTCTTGAAGCGAGTAGGTCTCTCATCCCATCCGGGAATTTTGGTTGCGCAGAGTTCTAGCGCCTTAGGGTTCGTAACAGTGATGACATTCTCCAAAGAGATGTCATGCAGCAGATGACTTTCATCTGGGAAGCCTGCGTTCATTATACCAGACACAGGACGATTAAGCAATGCTCTGAACTTGCGGACAAGTTTTGTCAACTTGCGATGATTAGCTTTCGCACTTTGCTTCAAGACCTCGATGTTCGTATCTTTCCAGCTTGCAAGCTTAATGACATCGGTGATTTGCTTTTCCAGGGCTTGGCGACCTTTGGTAAGAGTTGCGTGCACTGGTTTCTCAAGACGCGAGTAGTAGGCGAGGAAGTTGTCTAGTGCAGCATGCACAATCGTGAAGGCATCGACATCTTGCATGCGCATAGCTGCGTGTTGGCGAAGCTGTCTTAAAAGCTTAATTCGCTGCTCGAAATGACCAAGCGTGGTCGCCTCGAAGAAACCTTCCAAAGACTTGAGTAAGTTCTTGACATGCGTCTGCAGGCTCTTCTCATCCTCGCTGCTCTCTGATGCAGCAATGATCGTTTCATACGCGACAAAGAACCAACTCTTAGCATCGTCACGGTATTTTTCCTCTTCCATGTCGAACAGTCGAGCCCAAGTGGTAAGTTCAAGCTCTCTCCAGCTGACTAGGAGCTTAGTAAGATCGTCAAATACGTTCG